CACGAGTGAAGACAATTGTTAAGTTATTCTGTCATGAGTCCAATTCGACATATTTGATGGCGAATTTTATTTAGAGTTTCACGTGTGGTCTAAAATGCTGATTAGTATAGTACCTGTTGTTTACGTAGTGGTCATAATGACGTCATGAGTGCACCTGTAAAACTGTACCGAGTAGGTACAGTTTCACACCGACACTCTTCTCTCTGTGCACTCTTCTCAGAGTGACCATCTTGGATTTTTCATCTAATCCTGGTGTTGAGGTTCAATAGCGCTGTTTTATGGCATATTAGCAAACAAAATAATTATTTCATTGGTAAATGATCTATTAATGTCGGTTACTCTAAAGTCAATTTTCATAAATAAAGTAGCAAGAAGTTAGGAATAATTTATGAACTAAGAATATATGGCAATAGGCTCACCCCCTATTACATGGAACTCATAGCATAAATAGTGAAGAGTGGGTGTTAGATTGTACCACCCCTTCTGGGATAAAAGGCGTGATGTTATGTAATTTATGAACTTTAATAAGATTCTAAAAAATGTTAACTAACTATTAAATGAGCTATAACGTCCATAATCTAGGTACAAGGTTCATTTTAAAATGAATGGTTTTTGTAGCTTTAGTACTTAAACTTATCAATGATAAATGATATCAAAATATTGATATTCCAAGGGATATTTATATATTAATGCATGCTGTCTATTAAACAACGTGGTTTTAGATAAAATTCATGACACACCTTTCGATAAAACAATATTGCTTTATAATAACACTAGCGACCCGCCCCGGCTTTGCACGGGTGTCTTAAGAATCACTCTATCTTTTAAAAAAAACTGCATCAAAATTCATTGCGTGGTTTTAAAGATTTAAGCATACATAAGGACAGACAGTCGGCGGATAGCGACTTTGTGTTATACTATGTAGTGATTATACACAGTTTTATAATACACAAAATGATTCATTTATAACGGTTTATACCTATTTCATGGATAATATCTTCAGTTATGGACAAAGGTCATACTCAATCTAAATCCGTTTTGTTTAAGGTCCAATTTCTCTTGTATTAATTTGTCTCATTATCACTTCACAGCATAGTATAAAGCAAAGTCGCTATCCGCCGTCTGTCTGTCCCTATGCATGCTTAGATCTATAAAACTACACAACGGATTTTGATGCGGTTTTTTAATAGATAGTGTGATTCTTAAGGAAGGTTTATATGTATAATACATGCATATTGCACCCGTGCGAAGCCGGGGCGGGTCGCTAGTTACCTACAAATGTGAAGAAAAAATCATTCCAAATTCCTTATAAGGTCAAAATCTTTTGAGTTTATATTTTGTTACATTAATTTTATTAATTAAAAATATGTGTACCTGTTATAATTATGTATACCAGATGCTAAGACACATCCGTTCCGTTACACCGGAACGTAATTGTAAACAAAGAATAAAATGCGTCCGGCCTTACCGGAATTTCTACCGGTTAATTACCATGTAACTTAAAATTAAAATGAATATAACATTACACCTTTCTATAAAAGTGTTACATTGCCAACCATGTTTAAAGTCCCACTCTATGACGGTACACTATATTGACGGTAAGCTTATTATGACTGCGGAGAAGCGTAATGAGTTACCGGGGCTCCGGCTCAAACCAGAAGTAGGAACGGGAAGGTTTTTAGTCAGTAAGAGTTTAACACTCCCCCCCGCCTCACCCAGGGCTTAAGAATTCATTTGATGATTTTTCCTCCAAAAAGGCCTATATTTTAGTAGTTCTAGATATCACAACATAACATAACATCACGCCTTTTATCCCTGAAGGGGTAGGCAGAGGTGCACACAGAGGTAACACGAACTTTTCACTATTAATGTTATGAGTCCCATGTGTAATAGAGGTTGAGCCTATTGCCATATACCAGGCACAATTCCAGACTCCGTGGTACTACTGAGATTTTTTTGTAAAAAAACCAGTAATACTTTGCCCGACCCGGGAATCGAACCCGAGACCCCGTGCCCGGCAGTCGCACTTGCGGCCACTCGGCTAACGAGGCAGTCTAGATATCAATAAGCCCAATTACCAATTCCAACCTGTTTTATTGCTTGGCAGTTACGCTTATAATCACTAGACCCAAGAGGCAGACCTCAAAAGCATTTTATAGAACATGCAAGTTTTGAAGAAGAATTATATCACTTTTAGTTTGTAGGTAATGTCTGGTCTAAACGATTTGAATCTGATAGCCGTTGATAAACGTTGGAATGTTAAATATTTCGCGAAGAATCTCATAAAAATGTAATTCTTATTCGGGTTATGTATGTACGCTCAGGAATGTAATTATCTTGTAATTTATTATAAAGTATACACATAAGTACATAGCGTTTAATAACTGTATAAATATAATAGATTGTAAAGAGGCATTTTTTAGCATGATGACAAATTAGTTTGGACTGAATGTAGTAAAATATAAGACAGAAAGTATCCAAATTGCCATCTAATCAAATTCATTTTTTTTTTCTTCTATGAATTTTGTACGAGATTGTGAATTGTGACGTCACGTTTTTTTTAGCGTAAAACAGCGTACTTAAAAAAATGCTGGAATAGTATTAAAATTAAATTGGTCATAAAATCAATTAATGAAATCGTGAATATTTTTAAATATTTCATTGTATTGAACAGTCGAACTAATTATTTTTGATTAAAGAAAGTAGCCAATTACATTGTCACAAAAAATCTTCATTCTCAAATACATAGACAATTAAACAATCTCGTTTAAAACTACACATCATAATATAATTATGCATAAACTATTTAATTCCTAAAACGACTCGCCACCTCTTACTTCCGTAGTTACAAAATCGGACCGGTTCTTACGTATCATCATATAACAACTAGTAGATAAAGAAAATCACCGATCACACGACGTTACATCGATGGGCGCCATATTGCAGACCGCTTTCACTTTTGATGGAAATTAAATATACTGCGTAGTAATATAGTATTTTTTTTTATTAAACTAGCTTCTGCCAGCGATTTCGACGGCATTTCTGTAAGTTAAGTCAAAGTCAAAGCATTATTTATTTCAATTAATCCTTATATAGGCACTTTTGAAACGTCAACAATTGAATTGTCCGTCCGTCTGTGTCAGTGAAGCTAGGTGCTTGTTAGAATGAAGAAGAACGATAAAGAAACGCTATCGTTACTCTTTAAAAAAATGTCTGTTTTACACTGCTCTAATACATATTCCAATATTGTACACACATGTGAGAATAATGTAAAGACACATGTACCTGACGTATTACACAAATAACAGAACGTACTAAAATAAAAAACAAAACCAAGAGAAAACAAATATCTTAAGTCTGACATGGTCCTCACATATGTATACTGACAATCCATATAAAATAGTGCTTCTATACAAGAAAAAAAAATTTAAAAAAATCCCGATCCCTTGAGCCTTGTCGTGAAAGAGTAACAAACACACACACATACACACCCTCACATACACACACACACACACACACATCCTCACAAACTTTCGCATTTATAATATTAGTAGGATGACCGCTACGGTTTACGGGCCTAGTAGCTCGCATTATTTATGAATTTGCACGTCTTTAAATTAGATATTATCTTTAGTCTTGTATTTTTAATATGTGTCAAGACTGCTATAAAATAATTAAGTCTGTCGTGCTGTTCCTAAATGTAGGAATGTGTTTAAGTGTTAAATATTAGCTCTTAATTGTTTACCCGTGTCCAAACATAAGTCATATCAAAGAAGTGAATGAACTGTGGAGGCTGTATTATATTTTATAACATTTTATTTCTGCGATTTAAATAGTTTTCGGTACTTACCAAAGTTTCTTTATATTACACAATTAAGTAACTCTTCAGCGTTACCTATAGCAAATATTCAACATATTTTACTACAAACAGTAAACACCATTGCCTTGGACTGCCTCATTGGCGAAGTGGTCGCAATTGCGACTGCCGGGCCAGGGGTCTCGGGTTCGATTCCCGGGTCGGGCAAAGTATTACTGGGCTTTTTCAAAAAATCTCAAAAGTAGCACGGAGTCTGGAATCGTGCCCGGAATATGGCAATCGGCTCACCCCCTATTACATGGGACTCATAACATAAGTAGTGAAAAGCGGGTGTCGCATTGTACAGTAGCATTAAGTGCCGTAATGTACACCTCTGCCTACCCCTTCCGGGATAAAAGGCGTGATGTTATGTTATGTTAGTAAACACCATTTACATTATAAACTTAAAGTTTTCTCTTTTGCAAACACCATATAGCTAAAGAGTCATCAAAGAGAAAATATCTTTACTTCACAAGCCCTTTCTCAACGCCCTCTAGTTGTCTGTTTCGTGCTAAAAGCAATATTAGCAATTATCAACTTTTCATGTGAAAGTAAGTAATTACAGCTTAATGTTACGTGTTCGCGGTATCGATGTATCCGGGAATAGATTCGGTCTCGTGTCTTATGATATTTTTGAGTAATTATTTTAAATACTAGCAATATAAACGAGGTAATTGCAGAGTAAATAAAAATAGTCAAGAAATAGTAATTGTTTCATTAAACAACGAAATTATTGGATGTCATGCTTCTAGTTGTACTAAATTGTAATTGTGACAATTATTTACTATCAATGTTTATTGCCAATGTTATTGACACTAACAACACATTCAATCTAAATTAGGAATTATGAAATAATATTATTTTTATATTTAATGGGCCGACTTTTGACCACTATCTCGCCTGGTAGTACCTAAGAGAAGATGCGGTCTATATACGATCGCGCACAATGAATTGAGACACACGGAATCTTGATCACTTAAAACTATATGCGTACCGTTAAAACCAAAACCACGTCTTAAAAACTATTTTACCTTTCCTAAATGATAACAAAAAACCTTTTCTACAGTCTAAAACACATAAACGGAACCCTACAGAAATATTCATATTACAAACTTTATTAATCTTTTTCCATTTCTTCCAATAGAATCCCCTCGCCGCTACGTGGAGAGTGACGTGAACATCCACTACAGATGTCCGGTGAGGCACGATCCCCTACCTCTCGTGCCGGAGAGGGAGCTGGCGCGCCAACAGGCCGAGCACATGAAGAGATTGTACAGAGAACAGAAGAGGAACAAATATCTACAGGTAAATATGAAGATTATGTATTATGTAGAGGAGGTCCACTGGTCTACACTATTATAGTCCTGCAGAGGACTGTTCGTAAAGGCATACCATGAACTATCGTCATCAGCCATTTAACATGCACATCTGGACATAGATTTATTCCATAGCACATCATTGGGATCAAAATGTAAAAACAAAAAGGAATTGCCTAACAACGCTTACGTTGTGTTTCATCGTGTAAATGAGATTATCAGACGCCCAATTACCCCCTCCCCTTCCCCAATCCAATCCCTGAATCCCAACCATCCTCAAATTCATAATCCCCAAATGGCCGGTAACGTACTTGTAACGCCTTTGTGTTCCGGGTGTCCATGAGCGACGCCGATTGCTTACCATCAGGTGATCCGTCTGATCGTTTACCGGCTTATCCCTTATCCCATTAAAAAAATTAGTGGATACTAAATTAGATAACTTGTTTACAAGTTTACTAACTAGTATACAATTATTTAAAGTCACTTAAATATGTTTAAACGGTTGCTTGCGATATGATTACGTACTAAACAGTCAAAAAATGAGTCTAAACTTTGTATTCATGGTAGAAGATAATAATCAATCATTGATAAAAAGATCCGTATTCCTTGCGATAGTAAATGGTATTGTTATGTTTATTTCCATTGCGGTTTGTTCAATAGTATTTTTTCTATCTCTGAGCACTTTAAAATCTATCTGTTGTAGGTATTATCTTTTGTTAGATAACTGACTTCCTATTGAATAGATAGATATTCCAATGATTCGAGTACCTACTTTAAAAGGTATCGATTTCTAATATAAGCGTACTCAAGTCACTCAATAAAAATAGAAATTGTACACATAAAAAGTCTTTTTTACTTATCAACATTACTTATGGTTTAAATTTTATTTAAAAGAAAATACCTTTAAGCTTAGTGATGCTTTAATTCTAATGATGTATTTAATAAATGACAATAAGCGCTTTAGTAGGTAAAAAACGGACAAATGTATAAAAAAGTCAATCAAACAAATCCCATTATGTCGAATTTTAGGTCGTAATTACACAAAAAAAAACTATAAAAGACTACAATTTCCAAACGGCTATAGAAAAGTATGTCGTAAATAATCCAACAAAGAAAACTCATAACTTTCAATGCGATTCCAATACAAGAATTTTCTCATAGTACCTATTACATTACGTTGCATGCAATCCGCAATCGATTCTAAACCGAGCATCGATATGCGCAAAAACGGACTATTTTATCGGAATATTCCGAATACGATTATCGCATCACTCAATGTTGCGATTAACGATTAATCTTGTTAAACTAGGCGCCAACACGCGACTGCAGTTTGATCGATAACCTGATATAGGGTAAATTTGAACTTCGGGTTAAGGGTATAAAGTCTGTACGTATGTAAATTTCGTTGTAATAAGTGGCATGATCTTGTAAGTACAAGTTTTTTAGTAACTAGTAAAAATTAATTGTTTTATAAGTGATACTAGTTCATATTAGGTAATGTAATTTAGGTACTGTGATAGCATTATTTTGATTCTGTGTAATTAAATTGTGAGTCAGTTGGGGTAACTCGGTACGTCTGATTGGTTTCTTAGCAAAAGTTGCCGTTTCCACATAAGTCGATGAATTATAAATCACTACTTTCAAAGAAGTTTTAGAATAAGAATAAGAATAAGAACGTTTATGTATACGTTACGAAGTATGGTAATTACAGGTAGTAATAATTATAAAAAATAGTCCCACATACATCGCCTACTGTTTTCGGCATGCAAAGTTGAGTTTTACAATATGTATAGTTAAAACGTCCATTCTCATCAGGGTTTAATAAAGTAATATTCTTATAAATTAACTCTGCTAGTGTATCTGTTAGCCCTTAGTTTCGCTTGCAAACAAATGTGGAGTAACCATGAGCGACGCGTATAACATCAACACAATCATAATGTGTTTATAAAACTATAGCGACATCTGTTGTTATTGAAGATAACTATGCTCACGCTGCTATTATTAATGTTTTAGATGGTAAGGAAATAATAAGAATCAAACAAATCGATATACAATAAACTAATACCCATTAGTCTAGCCAGCTACAACTAGAGAAAAACATGAATAATTTGGTTAATTTAGATTTTTAAATGATTGTGAAGAAGTCTTGGAAAAACTCCTCATGCACAGTTAGTCATTTAAATAAATATAGAATTAATTATTATGTTTTCCGACTTACCCACGTAATTATTTGACGAGGAACTGGACTAGTTTCAAGCAATGCTAGAAGCTCATAGTCGTGAGCAGCATTCCGCGACCCGCGACTCCGCGAATATCGCGGTGCTACTGATAATTAATTATTAATATAATATGTCTCTCGAGTGTTTAAATATATATATAGAATTACTAGGTGACCCGGCAAATTTCGTACCGCCTAAAATTTCCTTTTAAACCTTCTCTGGACTTCCACGAACATTTTAAAGACCATAATTAGCCAAATCGATTGAGCCATTCTCAAGTTTTAGCTAGACTAACGAACGGAAAATTTTATTTATATTTGTAGACTAGTTTTACCGCGGCTTCGCTCGCGTCACAAAAGAATAAAAAGCCAATGTGACATATACCAATACACATAGCGCCATCTATACCAATACTTTTGTTTTCCCTCGGGAATATCAAATTTTTCAGGAATAAAAAGTACCCTATTATTTAATCCGGACTTCTAACACATCTGCAAAAATTCAAAGCAATCGGTTTAGTAGTTATGGCGTGAAAGCGGAACAAACAATCAAACTCACTTTCCGATTTATAATATTAGTAAGGATACTTTTACCACTATAAGTGTAACATTCTTTAAATCCAATCATACCCAGTCTCATAGCAACGATAGAAAGATAGAGGTATTCAAAATATTTCTGTTACAAAACAAAATGGTGCCCAATTTTGTAGCTTACATCAGTTACTGGTTGAATAAACTGTGGCTATATCATTATATGCCATAAGTCCACGTATCTAATAGCAATAGTAATAGTTGATACAACGCAATTTCTACAGCATTACTGGTAACTTGAAGTGACCGGTTTAGCTTTAATAAGATTGGAATATAGAGCTAATAAAGCAGGAAATGATCGAATGCACGACGGTTGAAAGGCTAATATTGATCTAAGCGACATTTTTTCTGTTCTGTCCTACATCACTCCGAAGGAAAATTCACTGATTTCGAAGATGATTAGCATACCTTGTTACTATTTAGATAGAGATATTCATCATACTTTAAACTTTAACTACTAATACAATAGGGTAGTCTCCTAAATTTTATTTTAATGTCCGTTTGGTACATTAATTTAAAACTTTAGACAAGCATTTTTTTCTTTTCTCACACAATTAAATATTTTCGACGATATATTAATTTGAAATATCGTGTGACGTCACAGCGTGTCACATTTTGTAGCACGTTATGACGTAACGACTCTCCCCCCCATTCCTAAACCTAGCGCCATTTTATCTAAGTATTACAACTTAATACGAAAAAATAAAAAATACGTGTCTAATATTTTTTAATTTTGATTCCCTGGAAACTACCCTATTTTAATAATCCGACAGTTGAAATGCTAATTAATCTAAGCGACATTGTTTGCGATAGTAAGTGTATTATACAAGTTATGCTAATTATATATTTGAAGGTACATACATAAGTACGTCGACCAATTAGGCAGAACCCCTGAATAAAGATTGATGACAAATTAAGTGATCCTTTAACGTTCTATTGTCTCTGCTCCTAAATGGAAAAGTGACGTGACGATATCCGAATATTAAGCTGGACAGAACCTACGAGGTTTATGCACTCATGATTTCAAAAATTAAATACGATTTTGTATTTTCGAATAATGTAACAATATACAATATTACAGAAACATTTACATTTTGTTTAGTTGTTTACAGGCGCTCGTGGATATGTGGTTTTTGTAACAGTATATTGGAATAGTTGCGGTTACTGCGTTTGCTTGCATCATTTATTTTTATTCTTCAATATTATATTTGAATGTTTTACATAATACGATTTTAATACGTTCCTAATTATCTCATGTTTAATATACATATTATGCAATATTGTAACTTGTTTCCAAATTATACCGTGCCGCGTTGTAGGTACTATTGTTTCGTTTCGAAAACATATCACATCTCTTTACATATACCTACATAGGTACCTAACACATAATTACCGGTGTAGTTGTTACTCACTAGTTGTGAGTTTACGCACAATACAATACTCTCATGTTCACATCTCATACAAATGAACACTACCGCTCCGGATGCGCACACGCACTGTTTGCATACGACCTACTTCAATCGCACAGATACAAACATTTCACTGATTTCACTTAAACTACTCATGGTGAAAATATCCGCCAATTATCGCCAAGCTCTGATCGAGCCCTTCGAGAGAAATCTGTACCTTACCATCACGTAATACTGATCATTCGAGTTTTTATTAACATACGAGTAACGCTGCTTTTACTATAAACATCTATAATGAATCAAGAAAACGAGACTTACTGTTAAACGGTATATTTCACGCCTCTACCAAAGATATAAAAATTTAAATAATGCTATCAGGAGCATTTGCCATTCATACCGACTATTATGGTAATATCGACCAGTTTCATTAAATATTCAAAAAAACCCAAACGACCTTGTCTCTGCATACCGACGAAAAATCCGTTGACCAATTGACCACACGTATTTTTGACTCCACCTCGATTATTATATTTTCAACCTTAACGACTTTTAATAAAGCTGGTTTTTATAGAGAAATTGGAGATGTTAATGTTTTTGTTATATAGAGGTATTCTTGTATTGTTATGAGCATGGCACGGCTGGCCCGGTCGGCCCAGTGTGAGCGAAACGTGCGCGAGAGACGATCATGATACGCGTGCAAATGATTTTCCATTACGATTACGTTCAATGAGTGTATAATTACGTAAATACGTTCTGTGTAATGAGTGTTACTATACAGTGATATTAGTGTTAGTTGACATAGTACTCTAGGTTCTAGCGAGTAATTTAATTTATTTAATAGGTACTATAAAATACGATATGTAATATTAAATAATGTACTCAACGTCAGAAAATACAGAGTTCCATCACGTCATGGAGGTAATATTTCTCTATCAAATATTAAAACTTTTCAGGAAAACGAAATACGTCCCGCTGATATAGAAGCATTCGATGCCTCAATGAAGGTGACGTTTGAGAGAGTGTGTGAAAACGTTCTAACAGACTCTACAGTTTGGGTTGATTTCTTCGCGTTAATTACGAAAGACATACACACGCTGTATAACATTATTTGGCCTAACTCATTTCTAAACACTGTCCCTTGCACAGAGGATTATCCTAAAGGTCCTAAAGTGCAACGGACGTGTGAACATTTTAACAAAATTTTCAAAATTTTCCTCAGTTTTTAAGCTTTGTATCATACGCCTTCATCTTAAGTATTCGAAGGAAAGAGACTTAACAATACATAACATGTTACAGGAGCTACAAGACATGCAGAACCGCCGTCACCAGGATAACTTCACGCCATCACAGAAGAACATTCTTCCTCTAAACAGATACGATGAAGCTGAGAAAGTGATTGCCAAGGCTTTATACACATTCAATGGACAGACGGCAAGAGAACTAAGTTTTAGAAAAGGAGAACTGATTCATGTGAGGAGACAGATTGATAACAACTGGTATGAAGGTGAACTCCACGGGAGAATAGGCCTGTTCCCTTACAATTACGTTGAGGTACGTATAACATATGATATCATTTCGTGTGATAATCCTATTGTTGTATTATGAAAACTATCCTATTGAATTCCCATAATACTACCTCTTTAGTCAAGTTTAATAATATGCGCCACTATTGCTCTTATTCTATAAATCAGGTTTCTAGATTATTTAGATTTATTTATGTATGTTGTAAAAAACTTGCCTTTAAATCAAGGCCAATAAGAATAAGTAGGTACGATCAAAATGTCCTTATGTATTTTGCAATACTATGAGACCTTTTTGCATTTAAAAGCTATTTCGGCTTAATTTAACTATAGCCATCGACGTTATGATAACTTTTGTCTACATAGAAATCATTTCTGTATATTACAGATCCAAAAAGGGGATGTAGTACAAACTCCGAAAAAGCCAGCAATAGTCGAAGGTCGAGCTCGAGCGAAGTTCGATTTCACTGCACAAACGAACTTGGAACTGCCTCTGAAGAAGGGAGAAGTGGTTGTGCTAACAAGGCGCATCGATCAGAACTGGTGGGAAGGAAGAAACGGCTCCAAGACGGGAATATTCCCTGATAGCTACGTAACTGTGCTACAGGAACCCAGCCCTAATAAACCTGGTGAGTACTACTTTTAAACAATCTTACTTTTTAAAGTAAATAAGAGACTGTTATACTAACAAGTGAGGCTATAATTATTTAATCATCCATCAGTCGATAATCTCAAATGTTAATCTTACCTACCGTTGCTACATTCGATACGAATGACAATTATATAATTTAAGAATAATAAAATAAATAAAATAAACCCTGTTTTTCTTCAAGTAAAAGGCACAGATGGAAACGTAGCTAATAATTCGATGAGCTTGAAATTAAGAAATCTTTCACAGTCATAGAGTGTGATTTTTGACCTTTTTACTTACCTCTAGATTCAAACTTTTTCACGACCATAGATAAATTGGCGGCAAATTCTTAGCTGTCACTGTCATAATAGCGTTTTAGCGCGAAAACGTCTAATATTACGCAAGATAATAAACAAAGCGTTTGACTAATGAGGCTGACTAACCATAATGTAATGTTAGCTAACAAATTCCACAAGTTTATCTTATCTTGGAATGATGAGTCAACTTATCGGTGCTGTATCTGCAAAGCCCTTTAATTAAAATACTGGGAAATACCCTTTATTTTATTATATTTTATCAGTCAATAGGTAAAATGATATTTTTGATATCTAGTAGGTATACTAGTTATTTTTCTGCTTTTGAAAACAATAGTCAATGTTCAATAAAATATGCAATAAAATGAGGTGTTTTTGCTTACGAAAACTTAAGGTAAATATTTAATAATTGGACACGTTAAAGATATCAATTCAATGGATAGTGATCTCATTGAACTATGGCATTAGATGAAAAGTAAAACAAATGTTTTTATTAATAAACAATACAATAATCCAGTGCCGTGGTCACAAGCGCAGTCATGAATCTAATTGTGCTTAAATTGGGAATGGTCTACGGCAATAGAATTCAAACCCTATTGTAATTACTTTTTTAGAACTAGGAATATATAGTTCATACAATCACATGGATACTTTTTGTTAATATTAACTCCAACCATTCTACATTTTCAGATCCTCAGCCAATACTGAACAGCGATAAGCCAGTGGCGTCTCCAGCGGCTCACGGTCTACTCAATGGCTCAGCTAAACGCAGCATGGGTTCGCACAGTTACACTCCTCAACCGAACAGTCCCGCGCTCTCCAATGCACCACCAGCCACACAACCACTTCCAGGTACAACATTGATATTAGTTAAACATAGATGTTGTAATAAATGGAGTAATCACAGAAAACATTTTCGTATAGATTAAGAAAATATATATTAGGCTCTTTAAAATTACCGAAATCTTGTCCATATTTTTATTCTAGTTTAATTTTGTAAAAATAATTTCGGTTTCAAAGGTGGTGGGTCAAGTAAATAATTCAGTTATATTCTTCTGCTAAATCCCACTACACAAGCAGTGACATACATTTATATTCCTATTTATGTCAGACCGCAGACCGCATTGTTTCTGGCCTTATGTGTGACGTACTCTATCTCAAGTTACAAAACGGAACTGGTACAGGAAAGCCATTGATGTCCTGTTTTGTTCTGAAATGTAATAGCTTTAATTTCTCGTGGCAAAGTTATAAAAATATTATCAAGTTTACCTAAAAAAACTTCAAACAGACTGAGCATAAATACCTCTAAATAAATAATTAACTGTTACAGTACTTATCTTTAGGTGAACGATGTAAACTCATCTCTTTTTATTCATATAAAAAAATACTGCCTTCCGTATTATTTATGTACCTACATCTAATGCTCTAAACTAAACTGTGACGTCATATCTCAGGTTACGTCGCGAAACCTGCGCAGGCGACGCTGACGCCATCGGAGCGCGGCTACGGGCCGCCAACGGGTGCGGGCGTTGACCTCAATAACACGGAGCCCTTGTATGTGGACACCAATGCGGAGGCCATACCGTTAGTATTCATATTTTTCTTGTAATTTGTAATAAAGAAATTATGCATATTAATATTTATGGTAATGAAAGGAAAGATAACTTAATTTAAAAATATAAATAAGATTGCATTGAACAACTCATGCTGTTCTTATAATATCATTATGTGTAGTAATTGTGTACAAATTACTTTCCTACAATATACTGTTTACTAAACAGATGTTTATTTAAATGAAAAATTCTCTCGTTACAGATACCGCGCTATGTACAAGTACCGACCACAGAACCCTGACGAACTAGAGCTGAACGAGGGCGACACGGTGTACGTCCTGGAGAAATGTGACGACGGCTGGTACGTCGGCTCCAGCCAGCGCACTGGACGCTTCGGAACCTTCCCAGGTATGTTTGTGTTCTAAATAATCTTATGAGATGCTTCTCTCATGGTAGGTATGGTAACCGACAAACATAATTATCGCCATTAAAATGTATACCATAAATGTGTAAAGAAATTTTAACATAAACGTGTTGATATCAATCTTTAAACTAACACTTTTCTCCTCTGTTGCAGGAAACTACGTGGAGCGCATCTGATAGCGCGAGACATCGCTGTTGCGGCGCCTGCGCCGCGCCACGCTGTGCGCGCGCCGCCCGCGATAACACTGCACGCCACACGTATTCACTGACCATACTGCGTTGGATAGACATTATCAAACACGGAGTAGTCAATAAATACAATGCTAAAGAACTTACAAACGAGTGAATCGTAACCCACAAACTTCTCCCACCTAGTATTCCATTCGTTCACTACTCCGTGGCCCGATACTTAGCCAGTGAATATACATGAACATTCGAGTGTTATGAAAGATGTTTGACACCAAAACATTGTTAGTTTATAACCAATATCCTGAAATACCCCGATCTACCTTCTATAACAATATACCTAATAGATTTATATACCGCGCCCTCGATTACGTATTCTTCACCATAAAACGGTGTAGGTCATATATTAAGTGTAAGCTCCGATCTATGTTAAATATAACCCATAATGTACCTTAGAGTCTATCGTCAAATGATACCAAAATTACGCCATGACTTTTTATAATATTTTGTACAAAGGATGTAAGCTAAGTAAGCGTCCCGTATTCTGCGGGAAGTCGGCCTTCGGTGGAAGTAGTTGCTGACCAAAGCGTACCAACAAGTACGGCATTAGTACTACATTCAAGCCTAACATACTAACAGTAGAACGTATGAATGTATCGGTGTACCTATATTTTCGCTTCTATCATCCGTGGACTAGAGTATCTAACCGCGTCACATCAATGTAATCTATCCAAAGTTGTTTTATGCGTCCCAAAGAGTATGTTTATCTGATAATTACGATGTTGTATAATTGTAAAAAATAATAAAAATACTTATATACTTGTAAAATTGTTTAGCGTAGTATTTATTTATAACTTAGAAGTGACTTGTTTGGGCTCGTCTTTTAAAAGTGATATTTTAAAAGGTCGAAGCTGGATTACTAATTCTAAAATACTAACCGATTTATATACATCAATACATGGACTACATATCTGCAAAAGTCAAACTTTGGATTGGTAGTTATAGTTAAATTCAGGGGGTAACAAAGTTTCGACGTTTTGTAAGCATTGGCGTTACAGCTGTACCCATAGACAATGAATATGGATTCGTAATGTATGGGTGGTAGTTACCACATATATACCTATTATATAATACTCAAGACTATGCAATGGTTAGTATATATAGGGCGAGTAATTATTTGGCAACGTTTGACAATATTGTATGCTTAATTTAATATAAGTTGTATCGATATTAGGAAATACGCGTGCTATATATAAATCATGGTGTCAAGTGTTCAGGCATCTATATACTTCATTTTTATATAACTTTCTATTAAAAGTATTAACTGTTTTCTAAATAATGTCTAGTCATCGATCAGATTCGAATTGTATTTTTGCAATATTTTAAATTATTTGGTCCTTTATCATATTTGCTTCCTGATGTAGTTCATGTGTTTATGAAGTCCTGAGCAGACGGGAGACAGATGGGTGATCATGCAATTTTATCACCGTATCACAAGGCTTAAAGATTTCAAGTACAATGGTTTCTGTGATCTATAATCACAGTCAAAAGTCTCTCGTCTGCACCGGACACTGAAGGGATATTTAAAAAAGTCATACATATGTTTGTTACCAAAGTTCTATCCCTCGCCCTATGTCAATGCTTCGTTTGTGTAGATGCAAATTATTTCACAATTCCTTTAACCTATTGTATTGTTGTATTTACTTTTGTTAATTTATTTTTAAAGCACAAATGTTTTATTTTGTTGTTGACACTTCGACATACAATATAACATTAACTGCTATTGTTCGATATCATCACACCTAATAAAATAATCTTTGTATTTATTTATGCGTTTTATTTCTTGTGAAACTTATTTTAGTACCTTATTTTAGTAGAAAATAGTACAAGGGTTTCGATAATATCGTTAGATTCGGTGATATTGCAAGATTTACAAGCAGTCCAGAATAAAGTCTATAATAAAAGATTATTTTTAACCGACTTCAAAAAAGGAGGAGGTTATACGTTCGGCCGGTATGTTGCTTTTTTTGTAATTTATAATGTAGGTAATGATGTAAAACCTCATTCAAGCATAAATCAAGGTATCAAATTGTAGGCTGCATTTGCTAAAAATAATTGAGTAAAAACCATAAAAACTTACAGAAAAAAATATCAATTTATTTTTCTATTAGGTATCACAAATGGCGTCCATCGAGAATTTTATGTAAATCAGCCAGTATGTGATCATAAAATTATCCAAAAAGTCTGTATACCTACACGATAATTATTTAATTTTCATATTATTTTTGCAAAGTATGTAGCTGTTATGAAATTTATTTAGTCTCCTTAATTTTTACAATATTTTGCATAAGTAAATAATGTAATTATATGTATTCGTTATTTTTAAAATTTAATTAAAATTTACAACAATTTGCCAAAATATCACGCGGTTACACTAATGGCAACATTCCTATAAGTTCCGTTGCTAAGCAACGGCGCCAAATGTAAACAAACATTACTTTTACTGAAATGAGTCAGACGCGCATTGCAGTTCTTAATTATTATTATTGAGGTAAAAGATAAAAGTTATTATCAAAAATGGTGGAAACAGATTGGCGAGAAATATTAAGTTTCTCACAGAAGGAACTGACACAGACGGATAAAGAGAAATTATGTGAAAGTTTGTGTTGGATGGAGGCTGATGATATTGAATTGAACTTTACTGACTTGAAAACACTATTTAGACTCGCACAAGATATTCTAAAACTAAAGAGTGAACAGGTATTTATGAATAGTTCGGATGATTTGCTAAAATATTGATGCATCATGCACGTTTCCAATTTTATAGTAAAGTGCAATAAGTATATTATCAACAATTAGAAAGCTTTTGAAATAAATTACCTATTTCTATTTTATATACGGGGAAACATAAAGTGATATACCTACAAACTTTCATAATTATTATTTATGTATTTTAATTCCAATATTAATTGGAATTAAACTAATATTATAAATAATAATTATGCAAATAAATTATTATTTGCACGGTTGGCGCACTCGGCGCAGTAACTGAGCGACTGGCTGCTGCACATTTCACGGGTTCAACTCCCGCAGCTATTATGTGAACCCCAAATAGTTATTTCGAATCAAAAAGCGCAAAATACAACATGTGGATAATGTAACGATTGAGTAGAGATAAGCCGACTTACATTAGTTAATATTTAAATAAGTTGTTTAACAAAATATACAAAATGCATACAAACTAACCGAAAAAGTGCGTTTTCACACGCTCCAGTAGCGAGGAACACGAGGGCAGCATAAAGACAGCAAGAATAATCACTTCTATATTATTAAAACATTAATGAAAGTTTCATTTTACTACCACTTAGCTTACTAAGTTTGTTAAAAGTGGAGATAAAGATAAAACCATATTTGGCTTATTCTAATTAGGTACTGGCTATAAAAACTGGCTTGTTTAATGAGGTTTTTAAAAAGTGTAAAAGTTCAAAACATCGAATTACTTTGTTGTTAGCTTAAGGTAAGCACAAATCACTTGCGTTAACCGCTTCAAGATATGAGACACAATAAAAATTCATTGTGTCTCGCGTTGGTCTACGTTTAGACACATGACGGGTTTAAGAAGAATAATTATAATTAAGGCGACAAACAAACTATTTCGTTATAACTAATAATATAAATGCGAAAGTTTGTTAGGATGTATGTTTTCATGCCGGTAATGCGGACAAAGCCGCTGTCAATATTTGATAGACTAGCATCATCACTTACCACCAGGCGAGTGGTCAAACGTCGGCCCATCAAATATACAGACTGCACGGTTGGTGCGGTGGCTGGGCAACCGGTTCCGTGCAACGTGTCGCGGGTTCGATTCCCGCACGGAACAACACTTTGTGTGATCCACAAATTGTTGTTTCGGGTCTGGGTGTCATTGTGTGTGTGAACTTGTATGTTTGTAAACGCACCCACGACACAGGAGAAAAAATTATTGTGGGGCAACGTTTTAAAAAAAACATAATATTCATATCACTTCAGGTCAACAACTTGGTCGGGCAACTAAAGTCATCTCATAAGAAAAGCAGCAAAATGAAAGTGGAGAGTACATACGCAGGTAAACGCAACTTTCTTAGTGATTACCGCAATACTAAATCCAACATTATGACATTGTGTTAAAACACTTTCTCATTTCAATACTAAAAATTACCACATTGAATTTCCCTCGCTGTTTTCTCTCAACAAGTTAAATTGCTTATTTTACACTTGAATGTCTTGAATGTTTCCATTGCTTGCTAATCTTGCGTTTCCAAAGAGAAATTCAATTATGTTTTCTAACGGATATCATAAATTTTCTTAAAGAAGTTTTACCTACCTCAAAAAGTATTGCGAAGTCTAAGAAAAACACAGTCTATTGATCTTTTCCAGTGCTTAACTTCATCGTAAGCATACCTAATTCCGAGTGACTGAGCCTGTAATTCGACATTAACGTATTGCGTAAAACTTCCTGTAGCCAAAGATAGACTACAAATCCCAGTATTCCATTATAGACCCTATTTGATTTATTCACATATTTTTAATGATACAGTGTCCCCAACACAAAGTAATGACAGCGCACTAGAAACGATAACTCATCAAGAAGAAATAATAAAAGCAAACAAAGAAATATTGGAGCAATTGTACGCTGACATTGCTGACCTGGAGTCAAGGAAAAGTAAATTAGAAGAGAGTAGAAGTAACTTCGATATAGATAGTGATTCCAGTCGTGATGTACTCTCAGAAATGAACGCAGTTGCTGAACTGGAACAAGAAGTTACCATGAAGAATAAGCATATTAGAAAACTACTTAATGATGTTAAAGTAATTAATGAAATTTTTATTTTTAATAAACGTTTATAGCCTACCGAACATAATGTTAAGTATTAACCGTTTACAGATTTTAGAAGAAGAGAATACGAACCTAAAAGAAAAGGTTTCTGTTCTAAAAGATAAGTTAACTGAAGCTACTCAACTAATCGATAACTTGACGGGGCAAATAATGGCAATCAATAATGAATGTGGACAATTAAAAGGTAAAATAGCAACTTTAGCAATATAGCAATATAGAAATATTGTAGTAAATGATCATTTACTTATATTGCTCAAAGCGAATAAAAAAAGTACCTAAGTTGTTTCTCAATTTTTGCCATTACAGAGCTATTAGGAAAGTCAGAGCAAGCCAAAGCTCATTTATCGGTTGAAATGGAAGCATTGAGGAAAGAACTTTTTGAAAAAGATTCTAAAAGAGAAAATCTGTATGAAGATATCAAATCTAAAGTTCAACATTGGAAAGTAAGTATAAAAGAAAATGTACAATTAATTTTGAAGAAATTAACACTGTTTTTATTAGCCACTGCAGAGCAAAGGCCTGAAATAAATTCTTATATTTTTTCTAGAGTATAGCTAAATCAAAGAAAGCTGAATTAGAAGCAGCAACTAATGAAAACTTGAAGCTAAAAGAAGATTTAAAGGATGCAACAAAAAGTACAACTTCATCACCCAAGGCAAGTATAGTATTTAAATTAGCACTTGAAACTGATCATGATATCATTTTACTAAAGAAGCTATTAGCCTATCACTGTTAAGCATAAGCATCTTAGTACAATTTACTAAAAAAATCTGAATACGCTCTCATCTTACACAGAAAAGTGACACAGAAAAACGCAAAATAAAGGAGTTGCAAGAGAAGTTGACTGAAGCTTCAAATGAAATTGAACAAACAGCCAACCTCATTAATTTATTGAGAGCAGAAAATAAACAACTAAAAGCAGTCATCGAAGAAGTTCCTGATAATTCTATTTCCGAGGCTAAAAATATAAGCGACGATAATAAAGAACGAACAATAATTAACAAATTGAAACGTAAAGTAAAAACTTTGACGGTTAGTCTTCAGGGAGCGGAAGAAATGATTGCAGCCAGGGAAAAAGAAGTAAGTTGCAAAAATAAACAGTGATTATTAATTTCTGTAATAAAAAATATTTTTAATTATTCTTGTTGATAAGTTGACAGAAATAACATCACAGCTACAACTTTTGCAATCAGATGAAGGAATAAATGCATTACTTGAAGGGTTAAAAAATAAAAAACGACAACTGAAGTTTAAGGACGAAGGCATCAAAACTTTGGTTCAAGAAGCAAATACGTTAAACAATTTGATCAATGATTTACAACTTGAAAATGAGACACTCAGGTAATGTTGTATCTATTAAACAGATTAACTGTCAGGGTGATGTTATTAAATATTATGTAGTTAATTAATTATTTTTATGTATCTACAGACAAAGATTCAACGTACCTTCCGAGGAAAAAGTACCTGTCAAAGGAATTATGAAAGACTATCGTAATTTACAAGAAACTAATGCAAGAATCACAAAAGAATTAAAAAGGCTTGAAAATAAACTTGTAGGAACAGAACTGAGTAACCGTCAATTGAATACTAAAATTAAAAAACTAGTTAGTGTTCTCAATAAAATTGGATACACGAAGAGTAAAATAGATGAAATAGTTGAAGATAGCGAAAGCGATGAAAATGAGCCCAAAGTTGAAAAAGAAGAAGCTACAAGGTAATTATTTCGCCTTTTGACCTATAATTTTTTTATGATCTTGTCATTTAACAAGTTACATTTTTAGCACCATAACAGAGTCCGAATTCCAACAAGTTGTAATGGAGAAAGAAAATCAACAAAAGGAAATGTTAACCATTATTGAAGAGAACAAAGGGCTTAGGAAAGGACTCCAAGAAATCCTAGATTTCTTAAAAGATAATAGTAAGTAGACCTATAACTATAGATGTTGGAAATTCCAACACCTATATTTAAAGTATTCCAACTTAGAGATAATTATGTAATTAATCGTTAAACATTTTAAATCCTCAGGTAAGACTTCTTCTGGTGTGCTGACATTAAAATGTCCAAGTTTGGAAGCAATTCTATTATCAATGGAAGCACGTAACTCAGCTGGCTGGTTCGCACCACACATGTCTACAGTGATGGAATTACGAACCGCTTTAGGTGGTAAAGATGCGCTACTGACTGCTTTACATGAAGCAAGGTTAATGTTTATACCTATTATATAACTAATTTGTTTGTATTAAATTAATTTTATAACAATAAAATGATTTACAGAAAAGAAACCTTCGATGTAATGGCTCAGCTATCAGACGCAACGAAAAAATCATCAGAACTTGAAAAGAGGTTGAATGAAATGGAGGTAAAAAATAAAGAAAAGGAGGTTGAAGAGAAACTACTGCAACAAAAGAACGATGATATTGAATTTGGTTCATGGATGTCAGAAAAAGAACAAAACGACATTGACTTTTATGACAAATCACAAATAGATAAATTGGTCGAAAATGGAAATTCTTTGTACGAATGTCAATTAAAAAAGGGATTGGAGTATTTTCACGTGAAATTCAAAGAATTATTTAATAAACTTACGTCTATGGCAATACATGCCAGCGACGATCTCAATAAGTGGTCTATTCAGGAAGAAAATTACAAAGCCCAGATAGAACGACTAAAAAGTCAATTGCAAGAAGATGATAGCAGTGACCATTCACCAGGAATAGTTCCTATACCTAGTATTACTTGTTTGGAAAGAAAGTGTGTGTATTTAGAAGAAGCATATAAATATATCCGAACCTTGAATGAAAATTTGAAAAACGAGGTACTGGAAAGTAAAAGAGATGCAATGGAAGCAGCATCCGAATATGAAACACAAATCCAAAAATTAATTCTTAATATCGCCAATTTAACTGATAGATTGCGCTACTCAGTATCACTTGAGCTCTTTTGGAAACAAAACTTTGCCCTCAGTGAGATTCTTTCGAAATACAGAAAACTTGTAGAAGCTGGTGTCAATAACAAAAATCACATGTTAAACTTATTCAGTCGACTTGATGAAGATAAAGTTAATATAATTAACTACATTCGATTGGAAATGAACCGACAACGAGGTATTTTATATTATTTTTAGTCAATATTTATATTTAATCTCTAAATGAAAGATTTACTCTATGTTTTGTTCTTAGGAAAATCAGCAGAAGATAATATACAAAAAATGGAATCGAAAGTAGAACAAATATTGCTAGACAAGCAAATAAAGCAACTATGTTCCGAGTTAGATGACAAAGATAAAAAAATTACTACTTTGGAATTGAAAAATACGGAGCTACAAGATGTTCGAGTGAAAAAGATGTAAGATATTATACAAAATTCACACAAGTAATTTATTTTTGACAATATACAAATAAATATTATTATTTGGTTTTAGAGACGAAACTTTAGCTTCTTTAACAAAACAAGAAGCCGATTTAGTGAAGGATCAACTACATAAGTTATCGGACGAAAACGTGGTACTAAAAGAAAAATGCCAACATATTAGTAGTCAGTTAGATATTGCACTACTTCAGGTAAAACACTTTCAAATGAAACAGTAATTTGTAGATACTATTCAAGTAAAATAATTTTACTCCTTTATTACAGTTACAAGACAGTCAACAGAGACAAATGAGCAATGACTTGGAAATTAATATGCTGCAACATCAAATCTTAGATCTACAATCTACAAGTGACAATAAAGCTATAATAGCAAGGTAAAATCTATTTATTCTTTATTTAAATGCAAACTGACTTTGAACCGATATTGTAAAACCAATCTTGTTGAATGGTCGCGGAGAACCTAACGGGTTACCGGGGCTCCGGCTCGACGTGCAGGAGAAGGACCGGGGTGGTTTTTAGTCAATAAGAGTTTGACACTCCCTCCTGCTTCACCCAGGCGGGAGCAGTAATTCGATGATTTTCCCCCCTTAAAAAAAATCTTTGTGAATTCCGCGTATAATGCGATAAAAATCATTCTGTTCTTTTACTATCAAGATCCTAAAGAATAAATCAGTTTCACACCTGGTTTATTCTTTTATCCACACATTAACATTGTATTTACAGACTTAGTGGCGAAATCTTAGTCGCCCATCTTCAGACGTCAGAAAGCCATAAAAGATTGGAGCGACTTCAGGCAGCTCTTAGTAAGGAAAGAGAATTAAGAATGCAAGCTGAAGACATGTTTAGAGCGCGTCAAAAGATCTTTAATGTGTATACTACGAGATATGAATCCAAATTCAGGTATGAAGTGCTAAATAAAATCATAATGTGCCTCAATAAAATTGACGGTAATTAAAAGCGTACGTATACATTCAATTTAATTAAAATATTTTAGATATTTGTATGAAATTTTGACAACACTCCGGCAACAGTATCAAGGAAGCATACCACTGATATCCATCGAAAAGTATTTAAATAAATTAGAAGAACTTTCTCGCAAAAATCGAACTGTTGACGAAAAACTTTACGAAATAGAAGATTTAAGAGCAAACTTAATTTCAAAACATGCTGTATTCGATCAAATTTTGGATGTGTCCAAAAATAAATGCTTAATAGAAGAAGATAGCTGTGCACATAAACTTAAATATATAATGATGGTAAGTAAAACACTTTAAATTAAAAAAAAATACCACAATTTTTAATCGTAATCTTTAAATCGTCGTAATTTTTAAACCCATGTATTTATCATTCCAGCAATCAGTAAATACCAGGGAAATAGAACACATAAACAAAAAATTAAAAGCTATGGAAACGTCTCAGGAAGATTTAATGAAGCATTGTAATAGTTTAGAAAGAACACTTGTGCTACTAAATCAAGGATTTGAAAAGACTAGCCCAAACGATCGACGTAGAAGTATTGGCGAGGACACCGATGATCAATCTGTTCAAATGGAATTGGAAGATGTTCAATCCGAAGATGACTCTACAAGTCCTAGAAGTAGGTTTATTAAAAATATTCCCTGATTTTTTTACTGTAGTTACATAAAATGAAATAAAAAATATTATATCAATCATAGTGTCTTGTATTTTATACAGTATTCTCAAACTTTCATTCGATTTTAGGAAGTCAAACAATAACATTAACAAAACCACAAATGTTACAAAACTCTACTAACCAACCAAAAGAAACAACAGATAGACAACCGGAAAATAAAAAAGCAGATTCTCCCGTAAAAGTTTTACAAAGACAACCAAGCAAGAAGTTTTCCGATGCACTTGCACAAACAAATGAAGTAATAAATACTAGCAAATTAATTCAAACGGAGGAAAACAATGATGTCATTAATAAAATGCGCGAGCAGATAGAATCTCTAACAGCTGAAATAGATAAAACGAATAAACAATTATACGATGCAATGTCATTAACACACAAACGTACTGAAGAAATCTTAATTCTCAATAATGAGAAAGTTAATTATGAATCTAAACTGCAAAGTCTCAAAGAATCGAATAATCAAAAAGAAATTATGAACGACAAATTGCAATTAACTATTGAAGATTTGAGAAAACAAATTAATGATTTGCAAATGAAACATAACGCTGAAGCTAACCGTAGGAGAGAAAATGCTAATGAAGAAAATAAATCTTTGTTGCTTGCTCTGAAAGAGTTGGAAGACGATAAAAACGCTATAATTGTGGAGTACAAAGGATTACTTAATACTGAGAGAGATGAATATGCAAAATCCGTTAAAGATCTGCAATTAAAAATTGTGGAACTGCAGTCAAACTTAGATAGGTAGATATATTTATGCTTACATTGTACAAGAATGTCTGACATACAAATCAATCATTTTGACAAGGTGATAACACTTGTATGACGCAACATGATCCGAAACATGCCACTAATCACTTATTTATTACAGACGAGCCAGTGAATCAAACGCTTCCAACGGTGAGGCAATAAAAGAAGTGGTCACAAAATATACAATGAAAACTTCAGAATTAGAAGACAAGTGTTTCAAACTACAAGGTGAACTTGATGAGTGCAAATCTGAACTGTACGTATCGATAAAATAAGAAATAGTCATTTGATAAATAAATCTTATAGTCTAATGTCGATTTTGTTTTTAGGACAACATATCAAAGTGAATCAGCTCGGTGGAAGGATTTGGCTACAGAAAGACTTACGAAAATGGAACAACTTAACTCTCAGCTACAAGAACGGCATTGTCATGAGGTGATGTTAATTATAGAACGAAAAAATGCTAAATGGAATAAAGCACGTATATTTTACATAACATGCCATTTATAGGTGAAATCGTACAAAGCGGAGAATGAACACTGGTTGACTCAGCTGAATGAAATGCAGCGCGAACACATGGACCTAAGGACGAGGCTTACTGATCAGAAGACTGTTTACCTTAAGCAATTATCTGATAAAGATACACAAATTGAACAGTTACGGATTATCATCAACAATTTGAAAGTAAGTAGACAGTACTTTTTAATAATACGACGCATATACTTAATTGATCAGTTGTTGTAAAAAATACACCCATTAAAAATTCTTGTTATAGACACAAGTAATGAACATGCAGACTCTGATCTCTGTGAACGACCCTAGCTTCGACCTGTCAGCCATAGTGGAAGTGGATGAAACAAGCGATGTGATATCTCATCATGGTTCGGACAGACTTGAATTAAAGTTCGAGTCCTCAGTAGACCTGCACGATTCACATGACGATGTTATGAGGATCCCAGCTTCATCCACAACTATATGGTAAGATTGTTTTAATAAGAAATTAATTTTGAAACCCATTTTAAAATGCACATTGTCATATTAAATACTAAGTAGTTCTCCAATCTCGGAACCCATTACTTAAGACTTGCATGTAATGCCCCAAGTGTTGCAGGCGTACATAGGCCACGGTAACCGCTTACCATCAGGTGGGCCGTGTGCATTTTTGCCACGGTCGTGGTATAAAAAAAAATGCATTTTTTTTTCAATTCAGTATTTTTTTTTCTCAGGCAAGAGCCAGTAATAGAACGTCTCCGTCGAGAGAAGCAGTTAGCTGGAAAACAGAACGCAATCCTTCGTCGACAGATCAAAGTGTTAGCTTCGAGGGAGAGACGAGCTCGCTTGGACGCGCAGAACCTAAAGAATCAAGTGTTTAGAATGTAAATTATGCTTTATCCCTTCATTTATAAGTTTTATTTTCGAAATATAAACTAACATTCGACATCAAATATCTAACGCTTAACTAAGTGCATGAAGTACGGTGAGAACAACGCTAAATGATAATATTACTTAATTCACATCACACATACAAAATTTAAATTCAGGATATAGAAAAGCAAAATATAAGGAAGTAAATAATAATAAGCATGGTTGCAGTAGCACAACCGGCCACAAAGTGACGACGGCTGAAACAGCGGCGCTGCACAACAAGATCGCATCGCTACAAGCTCAACTGACTAGCGCAAGACGAGATACTAACTCTAGCGTCGCGCTCTGGGACAAGTGGAAGAGGTAATCAGTATTCTATGTTTACTCTTTTATTTGCATTTTATTAAACTTCGACTGTCTCAAATCAAATGCTGTCATTTTTGCAACATTCACTAACAGACATATGTATCTCTCTATTTTTTATTTTACAATTACGTGAAATCCTAGTACCTCAATACTGACTGACTATTCTGATCATTGGTCTAACCTAAGGGTGCGTCCACATATGATGAATGTTCCGCAAATACGCAGCTTGCAACCTCCTTGCGAACCGCCTGTGAGTTGCGCAGTTTTTTATGTGTTGAGCACCAAACAAAGCACCAAACCATTGCCGTTATGGTAATGATATTGTGTCAGATGTGGACGCACCATAAGAGAAATCATAAAATGATCATTTTTACATTTTATTCCAACATTTGCAATAAATATAATGAAATTGCTCAGAGCACAACAAGCGTCCGATCGTTGGCAGTCACGCTACGATGAAAAAAGTCAGGAAGTCATTAAACTGGAAGCCGGTCTGAGCCTCGCCAAGTCTACTGTGACGAGACTAGAGAAAGAGAAGCGAGTTCTACTTGCCAGGCTTAGTGAAGCTAAACGTAAGTGTCTAATGCCCGAATACTGAAACGTTACTCAATCTTAAGTCGCGCTTATGTATAGTTTTGTCTCTACAAATTCTTTATGAAATGACAGAGATGGCATGATATTTATTTAAGCACGACTTAAAATTGAGTAACGTTTCAGTATTCCGGCATTAGCAATTAATGACTCTCCATTAAGACCGGACTCTTCTACAGAATTAAAGCACACGGAGCTGAATAGCTAAAAACTTAGATACAAAAAAGAAGAATCATTTTTGAACTGCCTTATTGGCCGAGTGGTTGCAAGTGCGACTGCCGGGCAAGGGGTCTCGGGTTCGATTCCCGGGTTGGGAAACTTTTTTTAAATAAAATCTCAGTAGTAGCACGGAGTCTGGAATTGTACCCGGTATATGGCAATAGGCTCACCCCCTATTACATGGGACTCATAACATAAATAGTAAAAAGTGGGTGTTACATTCTACAGTGGCATTAAGTGTCGTAATGTACACCTCTGCCTATCCCTTCGAGGATAAAAGGCGTGATGTAATGCAATGTTTTTTGAACTTTTTCCAGTTATGTTACGAGTATAATTTATTGAGTAAGCGTCATACGCGTTGCCATATACAATGCCTACATAACTTCTAAGCCTAACTCTAAACTAAAATCTAAGCTTTTATTGAAAGTCTAAAAAAATGTAACATTTTCTTCTCGATATTTTCTTGACTCAGGGATCTTAACCCAATCTTTAGAAGTAGTGCTTACAATAAATCATTAATGCAGCTCTTAATGTTAGCTCGTATTCTACTTCTGTAGACGATAGCCAAATAATAGCAATTGAGAAACAAGAAGCAGAAACTCAGGAGAAACCAGAGCGATGTAGCAAGGAGTGCTTGTGTTCGGAGGCAGCTTTGCCAGTTTCCTCACAGGCCTTGTTGGATCGAGTGCAAGCTCAGCAGAGGAGGATCGCGGCCTTGGAGATTGCTGAGAAGGTAATTCTTGATGTAAATCGTGGAACGTATAATATTGTACTAGCATCTGCCAGCGGTTTTGCCCACGTTTTCATGGGATAACAAGTAACCCGGTTCCAAATTTCATCTCTATCCCTTCAGCCGTTTACACATGAAAGAGTACCAAACACTCATACACTCACACACATGCATCCTGACTAAAATTCGCATTTATAATATTACTAGCTTTTACCCGCGGCTTCGCTCGCGTCACAAAAGGATAAAAAGTAGCCTATGTGACTATCCATCCGTTCAACTAACTTCAGTTAAAAAATCACGTTAATTAGTACCGCGCAATTTACATTTTTCCAATAAGTAGGTAATCCGTTGACTGGTTTTAAATGACATACAACGCCATCTATAACAGTACATACAGCGCCATCTATACCAATATTTTTGTTCTTCCTAGGAAATATCATTTTTTTCCGCGATAAAAAGTACCCTATTTAATGCAGACTTCTAACTTTACGTCTGCAAAATTTCAAAGCAATCGGTTTAGTAGTTACGGCGTGAATGCGGAACAAACAAACAAACAAACTCACTTTCCGATTTATAATATAAGTAAAGATAATATAAGTAAAAATATTATCTATTTTCATTCCACCTATCGAACTCTAATTATCTTCCATGTAATGTATAGTCCTCTATTCCAAATTACATATAACCCAATAGCAGTCACGTATCAGTGCACTTACTTATATTGTTAATGACAAGTAACTAGTCGTATATTAAACTTTCTTGAGACATACTAAATTAATTACTATGTTTTCGGCTTACTCACGTAACTGTTTGATGAGGAACTCGACTAGTTTCAAGCTATGCTAAAGGCTCATATTCATGCACAGCAGTAGTGCGCTGCGCGTCGCGGGTCGCGGAATGCGCGGAGTTACATGAGTAAGCCGAAAACATAATAATTAATTAAGTAACTATTAATGACAGGGTAACGAGCTCCTAGTATCAGAATATGAAAGGTCCCTAGCAGAGATTACCTCCCTGAAGGGACAAGTGTTGAAGCTGGAGTCCACACTATTGGAATCTCAAATACGAACCCCACTCAAGTCCGGTGGCGACGCTCAGCCAGAGCTTAACTACTGGAAGAGGTATGCAAACTGTAAATTGTTTTATTAACAGATGAAATATCTACTTGAAACTAGTATTTTCAGTAGAGCTCTTTAGTTTACGATTTAAAATCTGTTCAAAATTTAAGTTTCCATATCAAGACGTTTTCAAAAATATGGTTCATTCTGTAGTGGATATTTTATCATTTTTGGGTGTCTTCAAGGCACGAGTGAATAGTATGCTTAAAGTTGGTTAGGTTGGGACAACATGCTCCATCGTAGACCGCATCATCGCTTACCATCATGCGCGATAGTGGTTAAACGTCAGACCATCAAATTAAAACTTTACAAATTCTTATCCTATACGAAATTGCACGTTACTTACTATTGAACTGCTCTGCCAGTTACTGCGAGATGTTGAAAGAAGAGAACATCCAGTTGACGCAGAAGATTAACTCCATGGAGACGATGCCTACAACTGCACATCAGCACAGAGTCAACGACCTTGAACAAACTGTCCTTACGTTGAGAGGTACGTGGAAATTACTAATGCGTCGGTTTGAACAGGGTGTCGCAGTTCACGTATGGACCTCCTCTACATAAGAAGGATTTTTCATGATCTCTATGCTTAGCTATCCTATTCTATGCCTTGAAGATCGCTAAAGGGTTAATTAGAGAGTCTACCACGACTCGGTCTCTGCTAAATGTCTATTTTTTTTTTGCCATATAATAAGCTAGTAAATGAGCAGACGGATCACCTGATGGTAGGCAATCGGCGCCGCCTATGGACACCTGAAACACCAAGGCGTTACAAGTGCGTTACCAGCGATTTGGAATTGGGTATTTGAGGATTGTAGAGAATTCGAGGATTAGGGGGACTAGGGAAGGGGGTAATTGGACCACCAGTAACCTCACTCACACGACGAAACACAACGCAAGCGTTGTTTCACGTCGGTTTTCTGTAAGGCCGTGGTATCACTCCGGTCGAGCCGGCCCATTCGTGCCGAAGCATGGCCCTCCCACACTTACTAATATGTGTAATAGTCCTTTCTCTTAAAAAAACCACGGTCTACTGCTTCCGTGAGTGTTTTAAGTTATGATTGTACAAATCTCCTTTATCAGTGAATTTCAAAGGCTATATAGTACGACAAAATAAAAAGTCTGTACGTATCAATCGTTATCTTCTGTTTCAGGCGTAATTCACAAGCTGCAAGCAGAACAAAAGTCAGGATCAGGTCACAAAAGAAGTGATTCCAGGCCAAGCAGTAGTCGTAGTAGCCGAAGCAATACGGAGAAGGTAAATACACATACCTAGTTGAGTACTTTCCTTAATCAAAAATAAATTATTTTGACTGTTCAATACAATAAAATATTAAAAAATAATCTCACTTTCAAATTGATTTTATGACCAACATAATTTTACGATTTTAGAGCATTTTAAACAAAGTACTTACGCGGTTTGACGCTAATAAAATTGGACGTCACAATTCACAATCACGTATAAAGTTCATATAAAACTGTTGTTTCTGACAGTTCGAAAAAAATATTGAATTTGAGAGTATTGAATTTGACTAGTTTAAAATACTGTATTATTATGGATAAATCTAAACATTGGAATTAGAATCCGTGTGGATTCTAATTGAAGTGGAGCGTGCCAGCCACTAGTATCTTGTAATAATGACTTGGTTATGAAATATTATTCTAAATTATTACACAGCGTTTACTTACATACTTCCAGAGTCGCCTTCAATCAGAAACTCATCGTCTAGAAGTAGCGAACTTGAAGAGAACTATACACGATAAAGATTTACTTCTAGAAAGGTCCAAGGAAATGCTGAAAATTGCCGCCGAGAGAGAGGACGAACTGCTGAGAGAGGTAAGAAGGAAATAAGACTTCATTTCAAAGCCAAAGTCAAAATCATTTATTTCAATTAGACCAGAAAGGCACTTTGAACGAAACGAAACAAAAAAAGTGAAGCTATTTGCTCATTCTAAGGTGTAGATTCCTATGGAGAAGAACGAGCAAGAAACTCCATAGGTTACTCTTTTTCAATCAGGTTCACAATACAATTCTCTCGTTACTATAGTTACATTTTATAATGTAACTCGACACTGGGATCACTACAATTTACCGCCGAAAGTCCAATCCAACTATCACTAGTCATCTTACGATGGTATGGATCTTACGTTGGTTTCAATTTATCTTCCGGATGCCTACCCAGCAAAATAAGATTAAAATTACTTAAAATAAGCTCAGTCAGTACCATTCTATTTAAAAAATCGTCATTTCATACCGACATTTCATAAATGGTGAGCTATTTTGAGCTCATCTTTTTTTGTTTTCTTTCTAGTTTTTTTTTTATTTTACTGAAACTACAATCAAGTTTACAATACACCTTATTAGATCTTAAATCTCATCTTCTCACCTATGCGTTATAAATATTAACGGTGTCCTAATTTCGGTGCTGCAAAGATCTTTGTTTATATACTCTTTATCGAAGAATTTAAAAAGGACCAAAGAGATATATCTTGTACTTGATAAATTACATTTTCATTTATGTTTTTATTATTTCCAGAATTCCTTCCTACGACGTCAATTGGAAGATGTTACGCGACCTAAAGGCGGCTTTCTGTCAGCTTAAAGTATTATAAGTTACATTTTCATAGTAATCAATGATTAAATATAGGTGGTTCCATATTTATCTTGTGTTCTTTAAATAAAAACATTAAATTTACCATCGTGTATTTATTTCCTTTTCATTACACGCACAAATTGTAAGTAATCCTTTACATAACTTGCGGTTTTAAAAAAAAATGAGCGTGGTATATAAATTAACATCACTATTACAAAATATTGGTGCTTGCACGCAATATACACAGCCTGTTTATTTGATTTAGTTTTTTTACTTCATACAGTGATTCCAAGAAACATTTTAAAGAGCCGTTTTGTTTCATTTATAATTTTTTTAATTTGCAATCTGTCACTAGATCTAATTAGTTGAAGGCCAAAATGATATGAAAGCAAAAGTGCCCTTTTTTGTAGCCTAACCCTAACTAAATAATATAACATCAGGCCTTTTATCCCCGAACGGGTAGACAGAGACGTGCACATTACGACACTTAATGCCTCTGTACAATGTAACACGCACTATTCACTATTTTTGTTTATAAGTCCCATGTCCCATGAGCTTATTACCTTATACCGGGCACTACTGAGAACATTTTTAAACCTGGGAATCGAACCCAAGTCCCCCTTGCCCGACAGTCGCACTTGTGACCACTTAGCCAACGACACAGATTTAGCCCTAACGAAATAATGTTTCAGTATTCGTCCTAATTAAACGAACCTTTTTGTTTTACTTCTACTATTGGTTTTACGTTCAAATAAGTAATGAAGTGGTTTTCATTACAATTCCCGTTAAACCCATTTTATATAATATAAGCCTTTTTATCGACTACTTAAATATCTGCTCCTTGGAATCACTGTAAAAAGTTTACATATAGCAAAATGATCCATTAAAAAATCTGCATTGTGCATAAAACTAAGTTAATACTAGACCTAAACTATACATTTCTAAAATGCAACAATTATATTATCAACAATACGCGAAGCTTAGTAACAATATGGAAGACAAATTGCGTCAAACATGTTTTTAGTTGGTTCACAAACCTTTTACATATTCGTGGTCATAATATTAATATGTTATGACGTCATAATATTATGTTGATTCGATGTAATAAAACAAAATATCTTGCCCTTTGATGATAACACGATATTTTATCATATAAACTAACTTGTATAGATACGTAAATATTTAGTTGTTTACACGTAAGTAACTGAATTGAAAAAACAATGTATGAAAATATTCTCAAAAGCAGTAAGTATAAAAATATAAATAAAAATTATAGTCAAAATTAAGTGCTTTAAAAAAAGTTGTCCATACTCTTAAAATTCCATCAACGCCTCCGATACACACAGACACATCCCACAAATACATAGTTCTTACAAAACAGTAGAATAACATGTTTTTTTAATTTCTATATAAAACATTCAATAAATATTTTTTGATTATACATGATATTACATAGACTACCGACACACAGTATCTACTACAAAGTACATACATCGGCACATCAAGCTAAACCATTCTGTTAATTCATTTTCAGTTGTATCACAATAGTAACAAAGATAAAAATGTATTAAACTGATTAGTGTAACTTGATGCGCAAATGTCTGAACCTTCCTACGAACTTTTTAAGGCCAGATTGGTCTTCATTACATTTTTTTTAATAACAAGAGGTATTCTATTTTAAAGTCCTATTAATCCAATGGTATTTAGTCCCATTACACAACAATGGCCTTGTCCTAATACCAGCGGACCCATTGCCTATTGCCCAATTCCATTCTATTTAAGTAACCACTCTCTGGTCTTAAATACTTTTAAAATAACATCAATTTTCTTTAAAATATGTGTGTTAGTATTGAGCTCATTTTTAAGTCTGGTAACATTAATTTATTTTATTAACTGTGGTAGATCAATTCTTTTAATTTAAATTTAAAATCCATAAAACATTATGACCATAAAATCATTCTACTAAAACAATTTTAAAAATGTCGTTTTAAAAATTCTTAAATTGTATAGATTTACAGAGCATCCAATAGTAGAGACTAAACAACAAAATATTGTTAATTTTAAATAAATTTAATTTCTTCAAATAAATAAGTACCTAAATCCTTTATAAATAATTTATTGCTAATTTAATACTAATTTAGAAGTTAATAATCCAACAACATCTTTGAAAAAGGAGAGAAAAAACCAAACAATTAAAAAAACAACATCATTGCATTTTTATTTCCAGATTCGACAAATCATTTTAAATAGATACCATGAATGTAAAGCTATTGATAGTTATTATCTTTCAAAAACACTGAACATAGGTCTATGAATTTATGTGAAAAAATAAATATAATTATAATCTGTTGATTAAAGTGTATGAGCTGTATAAAAATATTGATCCAAAATGTTTGTATTGAAATTCTTCAAAATAATTTTGGTGCCCATGGCACTAGAAGTAGGACCGATTGAATAGACCCAATATGTAATAGATAAAGCTACTTGATAGAAATGATAGACCATAGGATTGATCTACATTCTACCAAGCAATCTTCCCACATTGCGTTTTAGTGCTACGTTAAAAAAACATCTTCAACTAAATTTTAGTACTTAATATCACAAATAGATATTTTTTTCATAGTTTTGTTTTTTTTTTTAATAATAACGTTGCCTCACACTAGGATTTTCTACTGTGTCGTGGGTTTACAAAAACAAGTTCACATACACATGACCCGGAACAACAATCTGTGACTCACACAAAGAGTTGTTCCGTACAGGAATCATACCCGCAACACGTTGCGCGGCAGCCAGTTGCCCAGTGCCGTGCAGTCTATTAGTACAAAACTTTAGGCTTTAGGAAAAATATTTCCCCATGAGATTTGTGATAGAACCGTTAATATTACCGTAGCCATGGGCACCAAACGTATATTGGTAAGCTAGGAATGTACCATAAAGCAACGCTAACAAAATTAAAGTAAGAATCACAATCATTGTAATTATAGAAGTATTTTAGGTATATAAAAAATAACTTAAACAAAAATTTGTCTACTTAAATAAATACGTAAGTAAGTACAGATGATAAATTAATCTTGAACGCCGTTCGATTGTAACAGTTTACACTGCAAATTTAATAAAAAATATTATAATAACGATTCGTTTAAAAAATGGCACTTTTATTAATTTAGATTAGGGCACATAGAATTATTTTTTAAATATAATATTGATGGTTTATAGACGCAATACAAACCTGCATAGATGCCCAATTAGTTTCGAACCACACCGGGACTCTTAATAAACTGTGCGACTCGCTCGGTCGCACACACAATAAACCGTAAGTATTATTTTAAATATAATTTAAATTCAAATAATGTTAATTTAACAGAGTATTAAATTTAAATACAAATCCAATCCGGTGAGACCCTTAAATAATACTGAATAATTTCATAAATTACAATATTATTTATACGTTAGTTAATTACAAACTATAATTATGACAATAGTAATTAAACAATAGCATATAATGTTTTAATTTACTATGAATAAATAATAATACACTCGCATGCAACTAAATCTAAATGATTTCAGGCCAATTAAATTCCAATCAAAAAAATCCCAATTTAGTGCAACTACTTACTTAGGGCTGGTTTCCTCAATCATTAGTAGGTAGATTATTTTTCATAATATTTTAACAAAAGAGTATAGTACTAAAAAAATACTAATGGTACTACTGAAAAACACTCAGATAAAGAATTTATAATGATTGAGGAAACTTACCCTTTTTAAACGTATTCCAATTTGGACAATTATAATTTATAAAAGTACTTTTCATTGCACATAACATTTATCCCCGAAGGGCAGAGGTGCACATTATGCCACTGTACAATGTAACACCCACTTTTCACTATTTATGTTATAAGTCCCATGTAATAGGGGGTGAGCCTATTGTCATATACCGGGCACAATTACAGACTCCGTGCTACTACTGCCCGACCCGGGAATCGAACCCGAGACCCGGCAGTCGCACTTGCGACCAGTCGGCCAACGAAGCACTCAATTTAATGTTTAATTCCATTTTTTTCAAACGTAAATACCCCATCTTTTTATGCTAAGTCATGTACGTCTATACAATGACTAAAATAATTTTTGTTGTTTTCTTTTAAGTACTTCAGCACTTGCCAAAAAAATTGTTAAGTGCCATTACAATGAGTGCCCAAATCGAAATACGCCTTTATCAACCCCCATGCAATATGATAAATTGGCGTGCAATAAATTTGAATCATATTAAACAAAAATATTAATGCAATGTACAAACCTTGCAGCTCTCAAACAAGAAATGCGCTTAGTGCTCAAAGCTCACTCGATGACATCTAGAAAATAAACTAAACTACTGAAAATGATGAAAACTAAAGATAATAGGGTAGTATCCTAAATTTTATTTTAATGTCCGTCTGGTACATGCATTTAAAACTTTAGATACGTGTTTTTTCTTTTCTTACAAAATTAAATATTTTCGACGATATATTAATTTGTAAATATCATGTGACGTCACAGCGTGGCACATTTTGTAGCACGTTGTGACGTAACTACCTCCCACACCTAAACTTAGCGCCATTTTATCTTAGTATAGCAACTTAATACGAGAAAATAAAAAATACGTGTCTAATATTTTTTCATTATCTAACTGACGGACTAATTTGATTTTTAATTTTGAAACCGTGGAAACTACCCAATTAGAAAAAAAATCCATGAAATAAATGGAAGCTCTTAATGATATTTGCAAGAACAGCAAATTAGGTGCTTTATAGGATATTCGCAGTAATTAAATCTAAATTTCGTTAGAAAATTAGTAATACTGAAAATATCATGCCGTGGTAGGTCAATAGCCTAGGTATATATAGAAAATTCTGAAATTTAAACTTAGTATTTTGCTGTGCCCGACAGGGTCCATAATTGTGTCCTAACTTTAAGCCAATGTAACATCTTAAGAAACATTATGGAATGCAAATAAAGATATGAATATGAATATTAATCGTATTTTTGCAGTAATTAGGCCTAATGTACAAGCCAATAACTGTTATAATAACTAAACATAGTATGAAATAAAAATATTTTTATAGCAGTGCGTATCCTTTCAAGTTTGTTAAAATAATACAATGTTCAAAATGCATAGTCAGTAATACTTACGAAGCTTTACTGTTACATAATAGATGTATGACCATATTTTATTAACCTTCTACCCAAATTTTCCAAATAGAATAGAATCCCAAAAGATAAATCCGTCAAAATAATCCCATGTACAAAGCTCTAAAAGACCCCAAAAAATCTACATAGGTACATATAACTACAGTCGGGAGCATAGAAACAGAGCCACGAGTTTTATTTTTCATTTTATCGAAACCTACTCTATAAGTTAAAAAAAGTGTTCCTTTTAAAACAAAATATTCTCATTTTAACATACATTCATAACTTGACGCCTGTCTCCTATCAATAGGCAGGGACTATGGAACACCAATTGCTACGATTCTTACATACCTGTTTCGCTTCATGAACAGACATCCCATGCATACCTGCTCATCAGTCTTTTTATGCATACTCGTCCGTTAAGGGTACTTTTAATTTGGCCCTACTTCAGTATACCTATCGCCAATCTGGTCAGTATGCGTCTATCTAGGGCGCCCTCTACCGACAGCCCCATTCATAGCCTGTCTACTTCTTTCGTTAATCTGTTTTCATCCATCCTTTCTACATGTCTAAACCAGCGTAACATTCGCATTCTGTGATAAGACCGCCCTGTGGACCGCCCATTGTACACATTTTATTTCTCTGTATATTTGTTTTTATAGTATTTGAATTTATAACATTCCCTTTTCAATTCTTGTCACTCCATCATCTTTCAATCCATGCCTTTCTCTAATAACACTATTTCTAATTTACTACTCTCATTTTAAAGGTAACTAAATTGTCTTTTATCCGACATACATTACCAATTAATAAAATACTTGTATTAAAAATGTTTATCAAGAAATAAAAAACAAAAGGCGCTAGTGGCCCCGTTTCGTATGCTCCTAAGAGTATGTTAACAAGCGTCTATACTACAAGCAGTCATGCATATCACTCTGCTGGTGGCAAAAAAGCCGGTTCATTCTGCATGCAATACAAAGTTATTCTTTTGTTACCTGAACTGCAGGTTTCTCTTCATGTCTGGCCCTTAACCTGTTGGCTAAAGGTGGTGTGAATAGTTCTGGGTCCGGGTGTGAGCGGCCTTGCTTTTCCCAAGGCTGTTTCTGTCGCCATAATAGGGATATCGCCGTCCCTACCACGATCACCCAGATGAAACCGATCTGTAATATTATAGAAATGTTTAGAAGTCAAAACTATTTAGTCAATGTTGGCTTAAATATAGAGAATGTTTCGTTGAAATCGTTGCATCGACTGAAAGAAAAATAGCCAGGCAATTCCGCTCTTATTACTTTTTCAGAGTTAACACGAGAATCGTTTAATAAATATTTTTGCAATAAATACTTTAAGTTATATAAACACAAATATTATCATACTAAATTATACTATTACGGAAAGAAATAAACCCCTTTGACGATTGACGGTCTGTCTACTTGAAAATTAACGAACTATAAAATATAATTGAATCTTTTTAAACGTTCATATACATAATACTTACACAACACTACAATAAACACACCTAATCTATTTCGACTTTGAGATGACCGAAACATACCTAACTTATCGCAACACACATTCCTAGTTTCCTGTCCAGACGTCATAGATAAAGCCCACGTCACACTCAGACTCCCAATCTGTTACACAATAATCTTACATCTATACTTCTCAACCTTTTAACCTTATGACCGTGAGCTCATTCATCTACATACATGTGACTGATAATACATACATACATTCTTAATACATATTCCTACGTAGTAACTACTTTAATAAGTGTGTGATATCATTTTAAACATAGTATTGGAATACGGAAAATATATAATTAAAAGTTAATTAACATGTATTTGTAGCCAGTTAGTACAATTGTCGCAAATGTGAAGGACGTTTAGAAACTCTCGGGTTCGACTCAACCAAAATAATGTTAGATTTTCAAAACTCTGTATCTCTATGCCTTTAGCCAAACGCCACTTTAGCGCTTGTCTACAGAGAGAGTAGCAATGAAAATGTATGAGGATGACACTGACAAGGTGTAAAAATTTACGTCAATTCCATATAATTTAGTTTTCTACTCTACGAGTAGACAAGCGCTAAATGGCATTTGGCTACAGCTGCTGTTTACCCCATCAAAGATAAATGAACTAGCAAGTTAACTTTTCGCATATTTGCAGTAAGTTGACATAATCTCTATACACTGCAAAGAAAACAAAACAAAAACCTTGATTAATCTGGTCAAAAGTAGTTTCAATCGATTCGACCTACATGTCGCATTATGCAGTCTAATTTAAATGCGTAGATTCGGTACAAATTTTATAACTGTGTAGACTGAAAATCAATTTATATCTGTGCATTAAACCAATTGTAGCGTCTAAAGGTTGAACACAATTTCAATTTCATTTAATCCTCGATAGAAATAAACACATAATTATTCCTCTAATTCTATTTCGAAATTATATTGTTTATGAAAAAAATAGTTTTAAAAAAAGTAAAAAAAGGTACATACAGTCCACCAATTTCCAATAAAAAATCAAAAAGAAACTATGATATAGTACAAATAAAACTATTAATTTCTCACCGGACTGGTCCACATATAAGATATTCTGTAGAGGTAGAAGTAATCACTGGGATTGGTGGTGGGTGCAACAGTCGCCTGCGTGACGTTGAAGAAGCCACACCCTTCAACACTGAGAGGTAGCTTGGTAACTGGAGGTCGCGGACCTCCGAAACTTATCCAAAGCGTCATTGCCATTCCACTTAGTAGAGCTACGGACACTGCCTGAAAGAAAGAAAACAGAATAGGTTTAGTATTACACAGGATTAAAGTTTTATGGTCGAATTGTTTGCGAATGTCAAGTATTATTATACTAATAAGTAATCACTAAAATAAAGTCTGGACATGTACCCGGTATATGGCAACAGGCTCACTCCCTATTACATGGGACTCATAATATAAATAGTGAACAAGTGGGTGTTACATTGTATAGTGGCATTTAGTGCCGTAATGTGCACCTCTGCCTACCCCTTCGGGGATAAAAGGCGTGATGTTATGTTATGTAAAATAAAGTCAATCTTAACAAAACAAGAGTTTAATTGCCTGGAAAACGGATGGCACAAAATATTAAACCAATCTAAAATGTGCAACTTGAAATTATCAATTTCCATTTTACATATTAATTCTCAGTAAGTACGGAATCTACATCGAACGGCTTTCTCCTATTACTTGGATATCAAACTTTAACTGGTGGAAAGAAAACTTGATTGTGCCCATTTACTTTCGAATAAAAGTAAAACAAAAGACCATCTGGTACACCGCATTACTAATCTATGGTAATGATAACCAGCGTACTAACCCTTTCATTAGCGTACGTAGTGAACATTCCAAGGGTGAAGACTCCCAGCAACGGGCCACCAACAGCTCCGAAGATTGTGAGGGCAGCCTGGAGTACTCCTCCAAGGTACTCAGCAATGAAAGCCAGAGCTAGGAACACTAGACCGTATCCACAAGCTGCCAACTTCGTCAACCAAGGTGCGTAGGACGCAGGAACTTTGCACCATCTGTGTGGAAGTCAGATTATTTTAATAATTGCAGGAATGAAGAAGATCAAATTATGGATAATAAAATGATTTTATCTATACAACATAGCATAACATCACGCCTTTTATCCCCGAAAGGGTAGGCAGAGGTGCACATTATGCCACTGTACAATGTAACATCCACTTTTCACTATTTATGTTATGAATCCCATGTAATAGGGGGTGAGCCTATTGATTTTCATCTATACATTTGGATGTAAATGAAATGTGTTTTTGCACAGTGTTGAAGTGCATGAGTCTAGAATGGTTCAAAGGAAGTAAGGTCAGTGCCGTGCAAAATAAGGTCAGGCTACTGCATAATGATTAGATTGGAATATTGTGTAGGTAACACATGCTACAACCACTATTGGTATATTAAGTACTTTATCTAGAAAACAAAAGTATAACAATACAAAAACTACTCATTCGAAAAGACAAGAAATAAATCTGTGTAAATATAAAAGTACCTTTCACTAAGCCTTCCTCTTGAAGTGATGATAGGAACAACCAAAAAATCTCATAAGTAAACATTATTAAGAATGCATTGCAAAATATATCTTAAACTAAGAGACTTAAGAAAGAAGAGAGACTTAACTCATAAATCGCATTGAACCTTACCTGCCAACGTAGTCATGTAACGTAACAGCTGCTAAAGCGTTGCAAGATGCAGAGATCGTGGAGAGGGAGGCACTAAAGATGCCAGCTACGAAGAGTCCTGCCAAGCCGGGAACATTCTTCATTGCATCTACCACGTAGTATGGCATCAACTGGTCAATCTGTTGGGATAAAGTTAAAAGTATAAATTTTGCTGTGTCTCAACCTTCCTTAACTTTTTTTATGGCATAAGCCGGTAAACGAGCAGACGGATCAACTGATGGTAAGCAATCGGCGTCGCCCATGGAACACCAGAGGCGTTACAAGTGCGTCACCGGCTTTTTGGGTATTAGGAGTTTGAGGACCGTTGGGGATTCAGGGATTGGGGAGATTGGGGAAGGGGAAGGTAATTGGGCCTTTGATAACCTCACTCACACGACGAAACACAACGCAAGCATTGCTTCTCGTCGGTTTTCTGTGAGGCCGTGGTATCACTCCGGTCGAGCCGGCCCATTCGTGCCGAAGCATGGCTCTCCCACACTTGAACTGCTACAATTCCCCTAAACCAGGATATACAGTAGATACCACCATGAAAACACCTATAGGGTGAAGTCCGTCATCTCAGAGTCTTGGATCCGATAGCAAAATAAATCAAAAGATATCTTAAGAGAAGAATAGACTCAAATAATATTTGAAGCACCTATCAGCAATGCTACTTCTCTGGTGTTGCCGGTAACTCGGGGTGGCGTTAATCGCTTATCTACATTAATTGCGTAAGGTGATCCATCTATTCGTTAACTCACTTTAACAACTAAGAATTAAACTGTCAAACACCGCGAGGACACCGGTGTCCGCACACCTATTGTTCTTTAATTATGTCTATAATGACGGTACTCAAAGGGGTAAAACTGTAACTTACCGCTGTAATACTGTGGCTAATAAAAGGATCGCAGTCTTTGTAAACAGCATAGATACCAAGACCGCTGATGCAGGTGACCACACTCAGTACGCTCAGAACTGGCCAACTCCACCACAAACATTTCTGGGACCGCTCCAATGTGTTCACTGTTTGTAACCGTTGGACCTAAGAAAGAAGTAATATCGTTAGAAAATATGGCATAATTATAATTATCTCTTAGACAAAATGGATGATAGCACATAGAGGAGCAATTAATTCATTAATTCTTAATAGAAAGAAATCACAAAGGCGACATTGAAATTGTTTTGAATTCATTTCCAGATTGGACTAAGTATTTTGATCATGCGAAATTGTCAGTGGGTGATTGATGGATCTTATAAATGTCATAAACTAAACAAATATTTTTCTGCTACAAATCTTGACTCAACTTATGACCAATGCTTGAAAACAATAAATGTTTTAACTTAGTATAATCATAATATATTTTTAACTTTTAATAACATTCTATAGCGCCCTAACAATGGTAAAACTACGGGAGGGAACCTATTTTCTCATGTTTTTATAATTATGTCTAGACATTAAAAAACAAACATCTTCGTCCGTGAGACTATTTCGGGTTCGAAGCGACCTGTTTAATAAATAAAGTCTTTAATTTAAACAAAGGTCACTGTTATGGTGCGTCCACATCCATCGAATACGGCGACGGCGCGCCTGTAGGTGCATATTTGTCATATTCATTCCGATCGCGAACGCTGTTCGCAGAATGCTTGCGAGCAGCACATTCACCAGATGTGTACACACCATTATATGGGATGATACCGATTCCAAAACAATCATGATTTTGCAATGAAATTCTTTTCTTTTCTTCAAATGAGTTCCCCAAAAGGACAGAATAAGACAGAAGATTCTCATACGGGTAAAGAATAATATAACGTATGAAAAGTATAAAGTCCGCCAGTAATTAAAATATAAACGAATTGTTTATTGTGTGGAATATAAAAAAAAAACAATAAAATAAAGCCAATTACTTTTTTCTAATAGTGGCTTAAAGACCCCGAAGGAATGATAAATTAACAAAATTTTGTATGAAGAAGTTGACTATTGATGAAGCGAGAGGTATATAGAAATCGTACCAATTGGCGTATTTGCGTACCTCCATGGGAGACAGGCGTGAAGTTATGCATGTATATAAATAACATTATAGAATATTTAAAATAAACAATCTTTAACAATTCACCATTTAGTATCAGACGGCCCTTGAGAAAGGTCATCTTCTTTATTTTGAACTGATTTAAAAAAAGGAGGAGGTCACTCAATTCGTCTATTTTCATTGTAACAAAAACTGTGTTCAGTTTCCGAGCCATTATTAAAAAATAAACTCTGACATGTAGACAATTTATTGAGGTGACCAGGCAATTAATTTAATCTAAATTGTATAATAGAGACTGAGTTAATAACTTTAACGATGCAATGAATGTTTATTGTAAATTCAATAAATATTATATGAGCTTCATATAGACTGATAAAAAATGTCTTACCGATCTCTTTATTAATCTTTGAAGTTACATAAAAAATGAAATTACCTCATTCGTTCTGTATTTAAATGTATTTTTGCTCATCATACAATTAAGAATGAAGTGAAAGCCAGATGGGTGAAATTACAGTTTTACTCGCGGTCATAAATGTTATAATATCCTTTTTTTCCATTATCTACAATAGTTCTACACTAACCGAGGACTATCCTTGGGTGCATTCCCACAATCCCATAGTGCATACAGGGATAGTCGCCGGTTTGTGTGTCCTTTACTTACTTACTTTAATCTAAATGTAATATTTAAATAAAATTGTCTAAAGGGCATCTACACAGTGGGCTTCGGCCCCCGTACGCCTGATGATATTCCCGGTTACTAAATTCAGTAGCATATGAGTTTTAGAAATCTAAAACAGAACATTACGACCTTCTAACTAAGACCACTATTATCTAACGAGTGCACATCTTCAGTGCAAATATAAATATTGATAAGAAGCTACGACAAGTGGATTACACTATTTGATGATAAAACCTCCACAGTACCACTAAACAGTACTTATCTTTACAAACATTTGCTCAAAGATTCGGTTTTACGATATCTACTAAATCTTCATTGCGTATACTACTTTTTACTTAGACTTATTTAATTAGTCTTATCTTGAAATTCACGTGTAGACGAAAAAAGAAACAAAGGCGTCATAACATAACATCACGCCTTTTATCCCTGAAGGGACACGCAAAGGTGCACATTACGGCATTTAATGCCACTGTACAATGTACCACTCACTTTTCACTATTTATGTTTTGAGTCCCATGTAATAGGGGGTGAGCCTATTGACATATACCGGGCACAAATCCAGACTCCATCCAACTACTGAGATGTTATTTAAAAAAACCCAGTTATGTTTTGCCCGACCCGGGATTCGTACTTGAGACCCTTTGCTCGGCAGTCGCACTTGCGACTCCTTGGCCAACGAGGCAGTCAAACACTACTAGACTTAAGCCTAAACTTGGTTGCAAATAGCAACTTGACTACAATGCAATCTAACGATGACTTTAAAAACTATATGACATAATACAGATAAGCAATACTTGAGATTAAACATACTGACACACAGACAGAGGCATGACGCTGCATTTTTTGCGGATAAAGATTAAGGATTGAGAAAGTGGTGCGATTGATAATCACGAGGTTATGGTCTGGGCCTAGAGCAAATTAAGTAGGTACTAATAAGATTTTTGATGTCAATAGTAGACTATCTCTTTCTTACATTAGTGATTAGTTTTGTTATTAGATAACCAACAGTAAGTGCTGTCTACAAAACATTTCTGGTAATTTCAGAAAATAGGAAAATATACAATTTATTCTTTTTTTGTATGTATCCCGTTAATTATAGATAGCAAAGTCCTAGGGTTCTATTTTGATTATTATACATTTCCTTTTACTGCAGTGTCATAGTTTAGAATAGAAGAAGAACACATGTGGTAGGTATATTTTATAATGTTACGTTGAAATATGAAAAAGCAACGTTTATCAATTTTCTATTCTTCTTTAAACTGTCAAACACCGAGCGGTCACCGGTGACCGCAACCTATTGTTCTTTAATTGTGTCTATAATGACGGTACTCAACGAGTTAAGGTGAATTGACGACTCATCCCTGTAGTCATTAATAGGAGATTTTATTCCATTCATGTGGGCCAGGGAACTTAGGCATGCGTTTAATGATATAGACGAGACGCGCGTAGGTTGGAACTCACAATAATATGGAGGTAGGTCCTATTGATTAAACAATTATCTAACTTGTAAGAATGTTATGAGTCAGTGGAGAAAATATTTTCCACCCACTACCTACTATTGTCATGAACATAGTTTACATAGTCTACATATAATGTTAGATGTTCTGCTTACCTGCGTGTGGTTAACAGCATACAAAGACAGATAAGTCACCAGTCCTCCAATAATCAGTGACCACCAAGTGTGTCTCTCAGTAGGATTTACACTGAAACTGAATAAATTGGGTTAAAACACAACCTTATCAAGGAAAGAATAGAATTTATATTAAATTAATACTTACTTGGAAAAATCAAGTCGTCCACCTTCCTTCGCGATGGCAAATATTTGTCCGAAGCTTCCAACTTGTATGGAAGCAAACACTACGACGCTGAACACAGCTCCGAACATGAGAGCTGATTGGAGGAGATCCGTAAAAAGAACTGCCTTCATCCCTCCCAAAGTTGAGTAAAACGTACAAACTAAGCCTACCACTAATATAGAGATCAGTCTGTCTAACCCTGTCACAGCCTCAAGTACTATAGCAGGAGCATATAAAACTATACCATTATAAAGCACCATTTGTAAAGTATAAGTCAAGGATGCCAACATTCTGATATGCGGACCGAATCGCATCTCTAAGTATTCATAAGTACTGGTTTTTTGCAGTCCAAAGAAGACTGGTAAGTACAATCTGCTGGCGATAGGGGTGGCAACTCCGTATGAAATGTTGATTACTACGAACTGCATACCGTAATAATAGTTCTCAGCCGACACCCCTAGTAGTGTGATGGCTGACATGAATGAAGCCATTAGAGATACGGCCACTGGTAATATTGACATGTTGCGGTCTGCCAGCAGATATTCCTGTTGGAAAAAAGGTTAATTTAATACAATTTTGAAGATGACAAAGGCGCATTTGTATTATGTTCTTTTAAATTTCCAAAATATATTTAAAAAAGTGAATATAAACATAAAGAAAAGATTAGAGCACATAGCAGCAGCAAACCAGGCGAAATAGCAGATAATTTTTTATTGTTCTTTCAAGAACAAAAAGGTGAAAGACAAACGTACCGAAAGTTGCAATTGCAGATATTTAAAAATATATATATAATGCACTAAAACAATAAATAAATAATATTTCATTGCAGATAAGAAACAGGTGCATTTACCTCATTGGTAGCCTGTTTTCCTCCACTGAATCGGAAATATAGACCGATAGCTATTGATATCACCATGGTGGCCGCCATGATGGCGTAGTCCCAAACTCCGAACACCGACTGCACCATGTCAAACTGAAACAAGAAAAAGATGAACTTAAAAAAACCAAATAAATCACAATATATTAAAAATCATCCTGATGGAGCAAAAAGTTATCACATCGATGATCCAATTCAGATATTTTAAACTTAAAAGTATACTAGTAAAGTACAATATTATTAAACAGGAACTCTCGACTTAAGTGGTATTTTTCGGTACAAAGAAGAGTGAAAGCAAAGTACACAATTGCAAACACACAATAAATTAACTTCAGTTACGGAGAAATCACAAAAACTAGAAACCTTGCATTAAAAATAAAACCACTCACGCCTAATAGCTTCTCCAGTAACATTTCGAAAACCAGTTAAGTAGATAATAAAGAAAAACAAAAAAAAAACTAAATGACGTAACTACAAAAGGAATCGCAATGTCATATTCGTTTGATTTTTTTCTCTTCCTATTCAACGGAGATGTAACTAATACAATATTTGCTTAACAAATATCTTCTGCATATATACGAAGATTGTATCTGATAGTGTAAGATTATTCCTATCTTGTACCTAATAAGACTTTTATCTCGATTGTAGTGATACAAGTGCAATAATGTACCACTTGAAAAGGTTCAAGCTGGTGAGACTGAGGAAAATTGTGAAGATAAATGCATTGTGTCTATTTATATAGAGTTGAATATATCGAATTGGAAACCCAATGATATAAGACTTGTATTACCTAATAGAGCTTCGTCAACTGTAGATAAAGATTAAATGAATTCTACCAATAGTTAAATAGTGAACTTAATTGCATGCCCTATTTAGGCCTCGTACACTAAACTGCGATACGATGCGAATTTGCCACGCAAAAAATTACGATGTGAATTGCTGCGATGCGATTTCGTGCGACAAGGCGTCTGTCTCCCAGAGTGACCATTCCTTCGACGATCGACAACTGTACTAAACGTATTTTAAATTTAAAACTAGGTCGTGACATGGATCGTAAAAAAAAGTGTGCACTTCTGTTATTGCTTAGGAGATACAGGAAAAAGAAACAAAGAAGATTTTGGGAAGATAAATTTTGATGCGCAATGCGAATCAATTCGCAAGTTCTTGCGATGCAGAGGGAGCTCGCACATTTTATGCGATGCGATGCGATACGAATAGCAGTTTAGTATACGAGCCCTGAATAATTGAAGTATAGAGGTACATTTTAATTAAGAACATTTACGTACTTACTCTTTATATTAAAATCACAAACGTAATAGATAGAAGATTAAGATTACCATTTCAAAAACTGTACCTACATAAAACTCTGGTTAATGTCAAATACCTACGTATAAGCAAAACAAATACTTCGTTTGGTTTTTAAAACTAAGCTTTCATATTTAACTAGTTAACGTTATTAATGTAACCAAGAAGTCGATTTGGCCAGCTTTCACAATTGGGTAGTTTCCAGGGTATCAAAATTAAAAATGTAATTAGTCCGTCAGTTAAATAAGGAAAAAAAATTAGACACGTATTTTTTATTTTCTCGTATTAAGTTGCAATACTTAGATAAAATGGCGCTAAGTTTAGGAGTCGTTACGTCATAACGTGCTACAAAATGTGCCACGCTGTGACGTTACAGGATATTTCAAATAAATATATCGTCGAAAGTATTTAATTTTATGAGAAAATAAAAAATAAGTACATGTCTATTTTTAAATTAATTTACCAGACGGACACTAAAATAAATTTAGGAAACTACCATATTACCTACTGGTAGAATCGTTTAAATGCACGCAATAAAGAGCTTAAGATAAATCTAAATAGTTATATAGTGCAACGAAATTGCTACGTCATTAAGTTGTAAAGATAAATTAGAAATATTTATATTTGCTATTAGGTATTTAGGTAAAAAATCATACAAAGCATTTTTTTTTCTTTGGCAAACAAGTCTCCAAAACGATCTTGTCGACTATACTGCCAGTATCAAGTGATGATTATTTGTATTAAATAGTAAAATACGTCACTAATATCAGAGTATCCAATTTGATATACAATTCTATTTTTTAAAAATCGAATTGTAAAAGTAAATAAACAGTACGCCTAAGTATGCGACTGGCGTTTCATTGCATGTATTGCAAAACCCAACACGCTAGCAAAAATAAGAACAAAACACAGATATGTTGTAGATGTGAATGCAGCAAAAACAAAACATCAGTTACATTGCTGATTCACAAATAGAAAACCTAAAAATAGAAACTAAAAAACAGATCAACAAAAGCTCTAACCGATAGCTTCAACTGTTGAATACAATTGACACATAGATGGCTTGAATGATAAACTCCAGATTTGTAAACGTGTCCCGATTCCTAATAATTTTGAATATATTTGCATTTAGGTAGGTACCTACTTACACGTGTCTTCTTGGATAACACTAAAATACACTAAACTACTAAATTAAATACATGGCTTGCAAGATTTACAAAACGCTTAGACAAACAGAAAAAAAAAATCTCAAAACACGAATTATCACAGCGATTTGCCTTTACTAGTTCTGCATATAAATGTTATGGTTCGGAACTGACTACTATGGAAAGAACAGAAGACGTTCTCTACTGAAACGTACCTATAATATCTACACTACCGTAGTGTCCTACATATTACTTTCTAATATTATCTCCAAACAAAAAATGGAACACCCCTTCAAAACAAATAAGTGTTGATAAACATATTATAAGCGTATTCTGACTAAGCAGACCGTAATCACGGCAAAAGAGTCATAATCAGCTAATAATATACATAGATAACTACAAATAAACCGCTAAAAACATCAGCCTACCTCTCTCGCTGTAGGCTTTATAACGATGCAAGGCAATCAATACGTCGACATACGACGACATGATAATGAAAGCAGAGTTTAAAGCGGTCAGCCCATGTCAAGTAATCAGACGAAACTGCTGAAGAAATCAATTAAAGTTGATTGAGTCGTCTGTTTGTGTACACGTTTTATACTCGTGATCTTTATGACTTACTGCAGTTATTGTTAACTTTTTGATTTATAACTAATCGGTCAGTCTCGCAATTCGTTCCACATATAACAATTGATTATGTAAGAATTGATTGATTAGTTAAAGTTGCTCAAAGTGGAAGAAATGATAACGAGAAATTATTATTATTTATTTATAAAAAACTATTGCCCCACACTAGGATTTTCTCCTATGTCGTGGGTACATTTACAAACATACAAGTTCACACACATGACACCCAGACCCGGAACAACAATTTGTGGATCACACAAAGAGTTGTTCCGTGCGGGAAACGTACCCACAACGCGACACGTTGCGCGGCAGCCGGTTGCCAATCCTTACATACTATAAAGAATGGTAAAGTTTTCATCTTCTAAACGAAGGATTTTTATGTTGAGGTGTCTTTGAATATTGACCTTACGATATTTACGTAAGGACTTTAGTCTTGGTGGTCAAATTGCAATGAAAAACAACAAAAAATAGTAAATTAATCAAGAAGACAAATTAAAGTGATTGATAATAAATTCCATAACTTTGGACAAACAATAACAAAAATTCAATCAAACGTTTTGGCATCAACGTTGATGATACACATTACAAAAAAATTACCTAAGAGACAAATTAACTTGGACTCCCAAGGCAAGATAAATTCCTTACGCATAGTTAAATTAAGATCACAATTCCTACAAAATTGGTACTTAAAAAGAAATAACAGATTAGGCTTTAAAAGACGCAGCGACACCGGCACAACAAACTTTTTAGAACATTCTTTGTGACATTTTTTCTATTAAATTTTCCGTTACAATAGAAATAAAATACATAGCTACCGCTATCGAGGAGCAAAAATACGGGTATCACTGACATAACGGTATAAAGTTTTAGACAAGACAGTGCTACAGCTGCTACTAAACACTCGTGCGCAAAACTCATCGTGTGCACAGCCATCTTGTCCACTCACGTAACCTCAGTTGATAATGTAATAATTCCATTACTCTATCCTTTTCCTTACTTGTCAAAGAAGGTTAGTTTGTACTTCATCATCATCGTATTTGCCCTCCTTTACTTTCAACACCTTTATTAGACCTCATGTTCTGGACAACTTTGAGTACAGCCTGACGCATAGCAATTGTGTTTTTTATGGAATAAGCTGGTAAATGAGCAGATGGATCACCTGACGGTAAGCTATCGGCGTCGCTCATGGACACTCGGAACACCAGTGGCGTTAAAAGTGCGTTACCGGCCTTTTGTATTGCACTAACAATCGTGTTTTTACTATATTAGGTATATAAGTATTGTTATAATGTCGAATGAATATTGATCTTATACATCATTGATCATTCACATTTAAGATATTTGAAACGGCACTCCCAAAGCTAACAATATTTTTGAACTTATATAAATGTCGAATTAAAACAAATGAAGTAATAATCCCGGAAATCTAGTACTAACTGCATGTACCTAAATCTAATTTTACGTGTAATATTTTATATATAATATTTTATTAGAACCATAATAGTTAAAGATAACTTGACTTTTATCAAGAACTGACCTACATTATCGGTATAATTTCGCAGTAGGCTCGCAGTGATTTTATCAATCAAATCGTTTAAGTAATCGAGTCAACCATTCGAGTTATCTTCATAGAGAACAAAGGTCTGTTCTGTCTATTCAAGTCTTGAATAATATTACATAAACGCGTATTACAGTCAATGTATTATATACTTAAGTATAAATTATTATCTAAATTACTGCTATTTGAAATACGTAGTTGTTACTTGAAAATGAAGACTCTGTCGTACTTATTGATATGTAGATGGTATCTGCAGCGATTTTCAATGTATCGTTTTGGTGTTTACAAACAGACGGAAAAAGTTATTCAACTACTACCCAAACAATACTATCAAAACTTCCGTGTGAATCGGATACCTTACTTCTGTCATTCGATTCAATCGGTATACCTATGCAGTACATCATAACAATTGTAAAACAATTGGTAATCAATCAAAACAAATCAAACCTAATCAA